AAAACAAGAGAAAAGGAAAAAGAAAGGGATGAAAGAAAAGAAGAGGGACTGCCCAGAACGCTCCTGAAGAGCTCGACCTGACCGCCGACTGGGGACCGGAGCATCGGACGGCAAGCGGGGCGGAGCCTACATCACGGGCTTGACCTCACTGTGACCATCGCGTGGCCCCGCATGCCGTGGATTCCAGGATGTTCTCATATGCGCCGGCCGCGGGGCCGGATAGGGAGGGGGGCCGGATAGGGAGGGGGGCCGGATAGGGAGGCGGGCCGGATCCCGGCTTTTCGGGCGAGGGACGGGGCCGGCGCGGCAACGTGGAGCCGGCAATCCGGAATCATTTCCATCTCCGTGAGGTGGGGTCCGCCGACTAACAAGGTTGGAACGCCGAGTTCTCCCCCAACCGGTCCGGCCCTCAGCAAGTTTTATCCGGCTTGAGGTGCAAGATTAGAGCTGTCAATCACCGCCAATTCAAGGCGAGGATGGTTTGATCACTTACACAGTGATACAGTTCGTTCACCTAGGCAACGCCTAAATTTGTGTGCGACAACCACCCTCGGGCCAGAAACTCATCCCAACATGCTTGGCACGCCTTGCACCTGGAGACACCGACAGCATGGTTAAGGGATAACAAGCGAGAGCGAAACCAGAAATCGATAGGCAGTAACTCTGCCATCGGCCCCACCACACGTGAAGGCCAGGAAGTTTGCGGGTCTGCTGGAGGGCAAGAGAGATCCCGCGGGGAGATGTAACCTGGGCCTGCAGCCCAGTGTCGTGAAGCACGAGCCTCGGTGAACCTGACTGCGATGTCTCAAACCAGCCCCCGAGATCTGACAGTATCGTGGGATTTTGTGCTGCCTCGACGCTAGGATTGCTTCAAATCGGCGAGGTTACGGAAGCAACAGCACACATGCAGCTCAGCAAAGGCTCCGCCAGGCCGATTCCTGCACTGTGGCGGGATGTTGATCAATCCTTCTCGTATCGTGCTCCATCAGCCCGTCCTGAGATCAGTCTCTCGAGAACGATTGTTCCCCCCGCCAGGCCAGCCAGTCGTGTAACCTAACGAACGACCTGGTAGTCGGGGCAAGTGTCCGCATTGAGATCGAGATGCGCCAAAACCTACACTGCGCTTGCAACTCTCGAGGTCACCAGACGACAAGGCCGAACCGCGGGGAACAAAGGCTAGTCCAAAATTCCAGTGATTAGCCGTTGACAACCGCAACACATGCCTCGCCAAACCCTCTCTCTTGTCCTTGAGCTGACGTGCCGGGTGCCTCCGGCGAGGCGATAAGGGGACAGTTTGGTTGCAAGGGGGCTTTTGGGTGGCAGTTTAATGGAGCCAGGGAACGTTACATGAAGCTGAGGGACCAGTGACCAGTGACCTCTGCCCTGCACCGACGCCAGGCGGGCTCGGGAGAGGCGGGGAAGCTCCGCTTGGCCCCGGGCCGGGGTCAGGTGGAAAAACTGGCTCGAGCTTTTGCCCCACTCAAATGCGAGCTCCTTCCTAAACAAACCCGCCATCCAACTCTGGGCCAATCAGCGCGCTCCAATGCCCTTAATCGTGTCTCCAACTCCAAAGCCAGTCTGGGGAACTGTGGCCGGGGAAGAAGCCACTGCACCAATCAGCCCAAAAGTCCATTCGGTCCGGTCCTAATCTTTTATCGTAACCATATCTTCGACAATCACGGGCCCCGATCCCCTTTACCAGCAATTGGCAGGCCGAGATTACGAGTAAAAAGGGTGGACTCGATGAGCGGTGTCTCAGGTGCAAAAAATAGACAGGAATGAGTTTCCGCCCCAACCAAGCAGTGTGCCATACGAAGGAGTTACTTCGTAGAACGAATAGTCACCATCATTCCACTGCCGGGGTTGAGCAATCCCTTCCCTCCTCGTGTCGAATCCAACGACCTGGGAAGCAATCACAGACTGGGAAGCCCCAAGCACCAAAATCCTCCTCGCTCTAGGCGAACGACCGAACTCCTCTACTACCGTTCTCCGCCTTGCTCATTGTCACGTTGATTCTTCAACTCGGGTTAGTGTTTGAGGACACTCAGCTGCGGCGCAAAGGAAGGGAACCAGCACATGCCAAAAGTCTGGACGCCATTGTTACGTTTGACGGTAGGTGGTCGCGGTGGTGCCGCCATTCAACGACACGAGCCGGCGCGCTGCAGCGTTGCATCCGCTGTGCGTCGCGGTCTGCACCGTTTCCCCAGGCCCCCCCTCACCCCCTCCAGCCACCAATCCCCAGACTGATTCCGAGCCCTGTCATCCTAGCACCCCAGAAAGCCTACTTTTAGTGCGCCGCATCCTCCACCACTCCCTTGCCAGGCACGCCAGGCCAAGCTTTAGCCGTGCCGAAAGAGAAGACCTTTACAGGGACTTCGGCATTGTCTTATATCTGCCGCCCGTCAACTTTTTCCTCTCGCCCTCGTTTTCTCCACGCGAGACCCGGCCGCCGCCTTCCAATCCCCCAACCCACCACTCCCGGGCGTTCGTCCCATCCGATCACGAGACAACCAGTCCGACAAACCAACACAACAATGGCCGACGAGAAAACCGCCCCAATTACGGCGGGGGCGCCCGAGGTTGGGACCACTGAAGCCGCCAACCGCGCCGACACCGCCGACACCGCCGGCACCGCTGAGCCAGTGCCGCGACCGCCAGGATGGATGTACAAGGGTTTCAAGGTCGGGAAGCAGGAGATTTGGTATGCGTCGCCAATCGTCCAGCTTCTCATGGTCGCCATGGTGTGTTTCCTGTGCCCTGGCATGTTCAACGCCCTCACCGGGCTTGGCGGCGGTGGCCAGGTCGACCCGTCAGCCCAGAACGATGCCGCCACGGCCCTAAACTCGACGTTCGCTATAGTCGCCTTTTTCTCCGGAACAATCGCCAACAAGCTCGGTGTCAAAGCGACGCTGGCATTCGGCGGTCTCGGCTACTGCATCTACACCGGCAGCTTCCTGAGCTACAATCACAACCAGAACCGCGGCTTCGTCGTCTTTGCTGGTGCCTTCCTTGGTGTCTGCGCCGGGCTGCTCTGGACGGCTCAAGGGACCATCATGATGAGCTATCCTCCTGAGGAAAAGAAGGGCCGCTATATTTCATATTTCTGGATCATCTTCAACCTGGGTGCCGTCATCGGCGCTCTGGTCCCCCTTGGCCAGAACGTGAATGCCACCGGCGCCACCAACGTCACCGACGGCACCTACATCGGCCTCATCGTGCTCATGGTTACCGGCGCCCTGCTGGCTCTCGCGCTTTGCAACGCGGACAAAGTCCGCCGCGCGGATGGCAGCAAGGTCATCTTGATGAAGAATCCTAGCTGGAAGACAGAATTCATCGGCTTGTTCGAGACTATCACCTCCTCGCCGTGGGTCATCCTGCTCTTCCCCATGTTCTTTGCCTCCAACGTCTTCTACACGTACCAGCTGAACGACTTCAACGGCGCTCACTTCAACACTCGTACCCGAGCCCTCAACAACCTGTTGTACTGGTCTAGCCAAATCTTCGGCGCCATGATCTTCGGTTACGGCCTGGATTACGCCGGCGTCCGCCGCTCTGTCCGTGCCAAGGTCAGTCTTGTGGCACTGTTTGCCGTCACCTTCGCCATCTGGGGCGGCGGTTATGCATGGCAGATCAAGCAAGTCACCCGTGACGTGGTGGAGGCCAAAGAGCCTGAATACAAGCGGGTTGACTGGACGGATGGTGGCGAGCTATACATCGGGCCCATGTTCTTGTTCATCTTTTACGGCTTTTTTGATGCCGCCTTCCAGACCTCCATCTACTGGTAAGCGCCCCCAACGCTCTCGGGCCAAAAAGGATCGCGGCAGCAACTAACCACACCGCATAGGTACATGGGCGCTCTCAGCAACTCGGGCCGCAAGGCTGCCAATCTCGCGGGCTTCTACAAGGGCATCCAGTCCGCCGGCGCCGCTGTTTTCTGGCGCCTGGATGGTCTGAGGACACCTTACAACACCATGTTCGGCGCTACCGTACGTTCCTGACTCAAGATCTATCTAACCCGCACGCGTGGAAGCCGAGACTAACATGGTTTTCTTTCCATAGTGGGGTCTACTTGTCGGCTCGATAATCATTGCCGCCCCCGTCATCTTTATGCGCATCAAGGACACTGTCACTGTTGAGGAGGATCTCAAATTTAGCGATGAGACGGTCGAGGACATCGTGCCTACGAGGGATGTTGTCACACATTTCAAGCAGGACGCCGTTTGAGTGGGTCACGGTGCTTGCGGGTGGGACACGGCGAGGGACGGGATCGGTCGGCATGGGCAATGTTTTTCCATATCACCTGGTGGTGGTCTGCTTGTGATGGGTTTGGGATGATACCAAGACATGTTATGCTAGCATGAAGTAATAACGCAGCACAGTTGCTCTTTCTCGCCAATTCCAAGATCAAGAGGTGTGAAATGGTTGGTTCAGCATGCTAACTCGTCGTAGATACAAACAAATGAACCTACTAAGCATCATCAACCATGCTACCAGTAAGCACCCTTCCCCCGATCTCATCTTCTTCTCCACAATTTTATCACCATATCTTCGCGAGCGCTAGTCAAACTCAAACCGAAGTTCGGTCAAGCGCCGGCCTATCCCAGCGCGAACTTCATGGGTAGCATCGCGGCGTTCTCCAACCACGCCGCCTCTCTCCTCGACAAAAAGCTCCCATGCGCCGAGTCATCTCGATGGCCACATGACGCTTCACCTCGTCGCGAAAGTCCGGGAAGATAACATCGGCCGTCTCAGCCATGCGTTCCGAGCCTTGCGCCGTTCCACCTCGTCGGCCCACGAACGGGCCCACGACTCGGGAAGATGCGGAGTCCAAGAAACGTGTCCTTGAGACTTCGACCAGACCGGGATTTTTTTCGGGTCGTGGGAAACCCGAGCGGCGCAGAATCGACCGCAAGATACCTGTGTGGGAGAACGCCGGGGGGGCTCTGTCGGATCTCAGCCAACCGTTATACCTCTACCCCTCGCCTACCAAGGACGGAAAATACAGACGTGTAGACTCCCTCAGCTAGCTCGATAGTTGTAGGGCGGCAAAAGGCTGCCGACAAGCCAGCATAGCCGCAGACGTCGGACATATACAAGCCAACTCCAACCCCGGGTTGTTCAGCAAGATCATCGTCGTAAGAGGCATCGGAATGCTGAATGTATCTGACAGGGTTGCCTGCTACCAAGGTGTCAGTCAGGGTGAATCTAGGTGTACCAGATCGATCTCACTCACAACACCAAACGAGCGAGGCAGTGTTTTCGGTAAAGCCCGCGGAGTGAAAGTGCCTTGCGAAGCCACCGCTGATGGAAAGTCCCGCTAAGTAGTGTGAGATACAGTTGAGAAAACGAATGGGTGGTCGCAGCCTCCGTTTGTATCGGGAATTAAGGTTATTTGCAGCATAGTACAGTGACCTTAGGGAAGTATCAAAACGGAAGGCCGGCTGGCGAACGGAGGGCCGGGAAAGCGAGCCGTCGCGGGTGGTGAACTGCTTAGTACTGGGTGTTGCCCGGATACGGTGGTAAATGTCAAAGGCCGACACAATATAGCTAATTATCTACCTGGGTATCAGAGTCGGCAGTTCCAAGCTCTAACCCCAACACCATCATTACCTACGTTGGCAGGCCTCGGGTAAGTTCTAGCCTACAATACTATAACCCTAGGTACAATTCCAGACTATCCATGATCACATCTAGTGACTCGGTCAACAGGGACGGGTAACTATACAACTTGACCTACTCTACCGGACTAGATCAACCGATAGATCACAGGACTGTGGTGGGAAACGAGAGGTAACTCGGGAGCATGCGAGAATACCACCACCGTTGTGAATTAAAGGAGGAGGTGTGCTTGCGGCGGTGACATCTAACGGACGACGACAAATGCCCGATTGCCTGAGCCAGTCAACCCTTCATCCTCTGCGCACAATCACTCTGCTCACCCCCTCGTATTGGCATTCGACGTTGGGGCCAAGGATATCAAAGACAATTTCACACAAGTCAGGTGCTCAGACCTGGGCACCTGACATGCCGCGATTTGAAATCGCTCAGAATAGAGATAATATTGGAGCAAGTTATGCCGATCGGGGGCAATGTTTGCCTTCGCAGACACCAGAGCCGGAACACGCCGGAATTGGAAGCATAACCGTGAAGAAGCAATCACTCGTTCAAGCGGGCGGTACTATCACTGTTGCATTTTCGTTTCTTGTGGGATGTCCCTTGGAGGAAACAAACACGGAGAGTTAAGCAGCCCTTAAAAATGAAATCGCGACGTCGTGCGGGGCGAGTGTTTCAAACAGGGTGAGTTAGGATAATGCTCCGATCGGCTTCTTGCATGCCGGTATGTTGGGTCTACCACGTCCTTCGGGTTGTGGCAGCCGGTGGAGACACAACAAATGGAGCTCCCGCACACTGAGATGGGGGAGAACCCCACCCCTTAACTTTCACATGTGAGGCATTTCCTGCGGTGTGGTTTGATACCAGGAGGCCGTCCTTCGGCCTGCGCTCCGGAAATAGAATGTCTACAGTCCCAGATCACGACTGTATAAGGGGGTGTGTGTTGAGACGGCCTGTGTCTGACGATCTCTCCTCACTCGCTTGTGTTTCGTTTCATCGACCATCAGATCTCAGGCCAGAAGCAAGAAGGGGGGTGTTGGGGATGGTGTACCCACCCGTGTCCCCAGCGGGACCCCATCTCCGCCGTCGAGGAGCGGTCGGCCGACGATGGAACACCCCCGGGGCCCAAATACCGGGCTCGCGGACCTGGAGCGCTCGCCGGGACCCCACCCGGGGATTCAGGGGTATCCCGCGCTCTGGCACGGCTTCTCACTGCACTAGCAAGAGCCGGCCCTGCGCCCGGGCCGAGTGGGGGAACCGTGCGGAGTGACATCGCGCCGGGCATAAGACCCCCAAACTGGGAAGGCAGATCACTGGGCTACAAGACAGCGTCGCCCTCGCTACCCAGTTTCCCACGTCGATTGCTCGTCATTATTCCCGGTTCGAGATATTCAACCTGAACTGAGAACGTGGCCAAGTCGGACCCTCGTGTTGGGTAGGCGAAGCGGGGGGGGAAAGGGGGCCGAGTAGGTAGTTATAATGGGCTGGTACAAAAAGTAGACGGTGCGGCCCGTCCACAGCAGTTTACAGTGTAGTGGCTAAACTCTGCTCCCTAATTGTTTTCGTGCTGCCCCCGTAAGATGAAGGTGCCGCAACCAGTGAACGCCGCCCTTGCTGCGGCTTTGCTGCTTGACACTTGTCTGGCAGCGACGTCCGGCAAGTTTAACATTTTGTCCATGAACGTCGCAGGCCTACCGCCGATCTTCAACGGTAACGACGTGCCCGGAGATAAGGCAACAAATGCAGCAAACATTGGGACCAAGTTTGCCGAATATGGCCACGATGTCATCCACGTGCAGGAGGTAAGTCCCCCGTTTGGGTTGTGCACCGATGGGCTTCGAAACAACGGGCACTTGTTCGTGTTTCAACTCGTCGGTTGGGATCGGATCCGCTCCGATCTGGCGCGAGATCACAGCGGATGACCAGGGTTGACTCCCTATGTTAGGACTTCAACTACCATGCCCACATCTACCGCACAGACACACATCCCTTCAGGACGGCCACGTCCGGGGGTGTCCCTTTCGGATCTGGCCTCAACACACTGTCTAACTTCGACTGGGTCGACTTCCGGCGGGTCAAGTGGGACACATGCTCGAACGCCTCCGGGGCCGACTGCCTGACGCCAAAGGGCTTCACGTTCATGCGGGCGGTTGTCGCCCGGCCGGCTGACAACTCGACCGCGGTATATGTCGACTTCTACAACCTGCACACAGACGCCGGCGGGGAGGACGACGACCTCGCGGCTCGGCAGCACAACGTCAACCAGGTGGCCGAGTATATCTCTAAATGGAGCAAGGGAAACGCTGTCGTGGTCCACGGGGATACAAACAGCCGATACAGCCGAGTCGCTGACACTGCAATTCGGTCACTGCTTGCGAGCGAGAACGCGGGGGGCCCGGGCATGGCCGACCCCTGGATCGAACTCCAGCGCGGCGGTGTTGTCCCAACAGAGGAGGTCCTATGTAGCAATCCGGCCAGCGACAATGTTTGCGAGGTGGTTGATAAGGTCTTTTACCGGTCAAGCCCGCTGGTGACGCTTCAGGCGGAGACCTTCCGTTACGATAGCAAGCGATTCTTGCAGGACGAGGGAAATGTGCTCTCGGACCACAACCCTGTCTTTGTGGACTTTGCATGGTCCTCGGGCTCGTCCCTTCGGCAGAGTGACTTTTTCGGGGGCGCGTTCGGCACTTGGTTCAGCGATGTGCCGGCACTCGCAAGCATCACCAAACCCAAACCCGTCACGCTGGCATTCCGGGGCGGATCTCGGCTTGATGGGGTGGGCCTGACGCTAGGAGACGGCACCATCTTCCGTCATGGTGGCACTAGCGGAACTGAGGTCTCCCTCGAACTGGGCCCTTCGGAATACTGGGTGGAGGGGAAGCTGTGTCGTGGGGAGAAGAGCGGCAAGGCCCGCAACTTCTACATACAGGCGGCGACTTCACTGGGGCGCACCCTGAAGGCCGGTACGATGACTGCGGATTGTGCAATCTACTCGGCACCTGAAGGTTGGCAGATCGTTGGTTTTGTTGGACAGGATGGCGACGAGATAGACCAGCTCGCTTTCGTGTACGCCCCACAGTGATGGAGACACAGTGATGGAGGAGAATGTGATCGTGGAGGAATCTCTGGGCGGTGGAGGTTGTTTGAGAGTTAGCGGCGTCGATCTCGCCGAGATTTCGGGTCCTCCTGCGGGTCTCACCGCAGGGGGGCGGTGGGAAGGAAAGCTCCGTCGAGGACCCTGACCTAACTAGTTAGCGATTTTCAACCACCACGGGCTTCGATAAAAAATATCGCAGTCTAATGAATACTTCGCCTGGTCCTCAACGGGTAAAAGCCGGCAAAGCTCGTCCACGGATAGAGCCCACGTGCAGCGGGACTGAGGACCCTGGTGATCTCAGGGGGGACACATGGGGGTGGTGATGATCCATTGCCTCGGTGTTGTGTTGATCTTCTGCCCTGCCACCATGCTCTTGAGGGCAAGTGATCAGCGGTGAAGGCGATGTGAGCTTTTGTGGCTTGTGGTTCGCAATGGGCGAGACCAACCCAGGCGAAGGAAACGGCTGCGCTAACCTTCCCAAGAACGTCGTCTCAAGGGGGGCGGAGGGGGGGTTGCAGCACCCTGGGATTGACCCCCGTGGAGCCCATCACTCCACCACAGGCGGGGTGGGGTGATTGACGCGAGGGTGTCGCGCTTTTCTTTCTTTTTGTTGATGTCTTCCGGTCCGGACCATTGTCGAGTCCACACGTGCTTGAACGCCTATTGAGGGTTGTAGTGGCTGACGCGCGGCCCCTCAGACAAAGGAAGCTGAGAAGAGCCTCATCGTCAATCCCGGAAGAAGAAAATCGTTGATTGGTCGCGTCGAAGCTGGACTTTGGCCGTCAAGGTGTGATGCGATTGCGGAATGGAGTGTCGAGGCCGTGTCACAAGAGCTCGTAAATGCGGAGTGAAAGTCGAGCACAGCTCGAGTCATCGTCCAATTGTGTTGCCCACCCACCGAATTGACATCGGAAGGGAAGCGCAACAGCAAGAAGCGCAGGCCGGATGGTGTGTTTCACGCGTTGGATTCCACTGCACGAGCACTTCCCGCCCGAATTTATCTCTTGCGCTTCTCCGGAACACGTATTGGCGACTTCCTTATTTTGAGCCGGTGAGGGTGACGATCGTTTTCTGCCCATGGTATTCTAGGCTGAGTGGGTGGTAACTGCAACGGCGTTGCAAGCACTCATCAATAACGAGCCCGGCGTGCCGTCTCTCGGGAACAGGTAGGCCCGATTTGGGGCTCGTCCCAGATTGAGCGTCCATCATGTTGATTTAGGCGTGGGCGTGCGCGCGTGTGGCTAGATTAAGCCCCGAGGCGGGCGAGGAAACCGGATGAAACATGCATCATTGACAAGTTGACAGCTTGTGCCACTCGATCAGCAACCCCACTGGATAGTCAAGGTAGTTATTGTGTAATGGATGATAGATGTATTGTGATACCACAGCGGGCTCGCTTGGTTAGAGATAAGCCCGCAACTTGGCCTTCAAAGAAAGCTTGCAAGCTTGCCTGATTGATGATTTGTCTGATCGGGGAGGAACACTCGCTCTCATCACTACAGGCCAAGATGTCCGGGGTCCATTTTTGTATCCACAGTGCTTGGCGGGAAATCGACGTGGGCCGTACCTGCAGGATCCGATGAGGCACGCGTTGCCAGTCGTGGCTGCCCTCGGGGATTGCCCCCACAAAAGGATAAGGAGAATCCCGCGCGGGAATTGGGTAAATTTGTGGGGGTTTGCCTTGAAGAATCGGGACTTGCTGAGCTCCAGGTTGACTCTCACATGTGCAAAGATGGCGAAGATGAACCTCGTACCGTCCCAAAAGCAGTTCTTGAGAACACCGCCAATGAAACCACGGGCACGAGGTGCTGCACGCTAAAATTCCGCCATGGTTTTTGCGCGCCACAACTTCCCGTCGGCTTCCCCAATCATCGTACGGCTTCCGCCGGCGGGCAAGGTTCAAGGGTTTCACTCGAGCAAGACGCCGAAGAAGCAATATGTGAGATGGAAACCACACGAAAGAAACAGCCCTGGAGGGGTTCAGATGCGAGACCAGGCGGGCCGGGCAGTCAGTCGAGGGCCGTTCTCGGGTGCCGCCAAGCGACTGAGCTCACTCTCATCACAAGCTGGCCTATCTTTCGGAACGCTTCCGCGAGCAGGAGCCAGAGCGCTGGGACAGGCAACAAGAATTGTCTGCACGGTATGGCCAGCAAGTTGACGCGCGACTCATCGTACCGAAACCCCAGGAAGGGCCTAGGTTGGGTTGCTTATTCCAACCTTCTGTTGTTTGTTCCTCGTCGATACTTACAGAATCCGTTCAACGATCTCAAATTCTGCCGACTTCGCCCACGATTCTCAACCCTCACACCGGCGGACTGGAGATGCCTAGATGGTATCATACTCGACGCGCCATTGTGCTTCCCCATCTCGCCCCTTATTCGGCATTGAAACGGGTGCTCATAATGTCGGCAGATGGCAGTTCTGCACGCAATACCACGCTGCGCAACACTAAAAAAACTTCGTGGGTGTTGCCCTCGGCGACGGCAACACCGGAGCTGCTCGCAGATTGGAGCTTGGGGGGTTGACCTTGGCGTTGCGGGGGGTATCCGTATCTCACAGCGTTCGGGGAACTGGCGTCGGGGGTGGGGCTCGGGTGGGACCTTATTTGTTATCTCTGGTCTGTCTGGCTGCAGCGTGGGGTCGCCACCACCAGCTCCTGCGAGGAGCCGAAGCCGGCGGTCCCATGGTTGGTTTTGGTGGCGGAGGGTTCCCCGGTGCCAAGACGGCAACCACTGCTTGGTGTGTGCTGACGGTGCGTCGTGCTCGCGCTCTTTGGCAATTGCTAGTCCAACTGCAGTAAGCGAAGGATGTGATATCAATGCAGCATGGCCTTGCGAGCCCTTGTTGCATCCCAAGCTTGCAGCAAGTCTCGACCGCGCTGTCGTATTCGATGTCGTCGCTTGAGAGTCTCGAGTCAGTATGACCTTGGCCATGGATGAGGTGCCCGGGTTTCCATTGCTTCTCGCCCTCGGAGACACCAGAGACAATGCTGTTTTTGGGGAACTCGTGGCAAACCACTGAGTCGAGGTGGGATGAGGTCGCCGCCCACGTGGAATTTGATGTTGGTAGTTTGCAGCCATCCCACCCAAAAAAACGACGCCTGCATTGAAGCTGCAGCTGAGCTAGACTGCCGGCAGCTGGCTGCTGCACATCTAACGATTTCATGCAGCCACGGTCCCCTGGCATTGTCGAGATTTTGCATACTTGCACTGTCCAGACCAACAAGAGGACTTTCTATCCACGAGCCATGTAGCAAGAAGCGACGGATCGCCCCAATTTTGGGATTGAGGTTGGGGAACTTGAAACACAAGTTCAAGACAACGAGGGAGATGTCGTCGAGACAGAGCACCTGGGTCCTGGCGGGGTTGCTCAGGCTCCAGAATGGGCGGTATCTCTGGCTTCCGATCAACCGTGGCAGCGAGTTGCTCCAGCGATGAGTCGAGACAACCTTGCACGCTTTTAAAATGCCGTCTCCATTGGAAATCGAAGGCAAGGATATGTGGTCCTTGTTACGCCACCTTGATGGGCAGTGGGCACAGACAGGGTGGGCCACACCGTTTTTGTCGTTTGGCCTCGAATTTGTGTCATTCTCTCCAATGGAAGAAAGCGTTCGTCTTGAGCGACTTGGACTTTAAAGTTCTTGCGAGCTCGATTAAGGATTATCCATGCTGATGGTTTAAAACCGCCACATTAGCACCGCTGGGTCTGATAGAGAGAAGCGAGAATGTCAACTCGTTCCGTTTGGTGAAGGAAGCTGCTGTGTTGCGGCACACCACTGGGCGTCGATTGAGCGCAACCAGCGGGTCTTTGGTTGACGGCTCTGCACCCCACTTTGGGAGGGCCTTTCAACCGGGGAGAGCGCAGGGGACTCGAGCTTGTGCTTGAGCTATCATTGGCGGCGGTTGACTGGTACCGGGACCCCACCCGCGGGACCCACATCAACCGCTTCCTTCAACGGGCAATTCGCGAAAAATTATTACAGCCGAACCCTGTCCTGCAGAGCGGTGGAGACAGGCCTTGTCCTTTTGGCTGGGGAGCAGGCGCAATCGAGAGCCGAGAGCAACACCGGGAGCGCAAGATGCACACCTTGCGAAGCCCCCATTTTCGGGTTCCATCCTCTCCTCTTCATCCTACTGTGTAGACGAAACTCGAATTGAGTTCAAGCCTCGATTTACCTTCGATTTTGCCACCTGCAGTGCTGAGCACCGACCTGCCGTTTGCCGGGATTTCATCATTGTTCGGCTATCTCGTCGCACAGGGGCAACGAGAACGTACCTATCGTCGGATATCTGGAGTCTTCTGCATTGACCCTGGATACCACCAAGTTTCGCCCGGTGCGTAGCATGGCACCTTGAGCAATAGGCCCTTTCGACGTCCACTTCCTATACCGCCCTCTTCGTCCTTCTCAAGGGACGTCCGACATCGACCGTTCCTTTTCGGTCCAACGGCTCGGCGATTGACTCGTTCGAGACATCTGTTCCCGGCATATCCCTTCGGCGCCCCTCGCTCAGTCACCGCTCCCTGCTGGAAACCCACCAGGTCTCCCTGACCTCCTCCCAGCCCCCAGATTCGCCACTTAGATAGTTGTGACTATCAGGTGTCGGGGAAAAGAACAAGGTACGAGCAGACAGGACGGTTTTGTGCTCCGATTCAGCATTCTGCTCCTTCCCTCCGGGTTTGATCGCTCCGTCGTTGGCCGTTGCGTCGAAACTTGGTTTACAGGGCCCTCCCTGGCATGCAGGTTTCCTGCATCATGGCTCTGACCCCATCTGCGACATTCCTCCTACCGCATCCCTCCCCGCACAAACCCATCCCTACATTCTTCAGCACACACACGCCCCCATCTTCAAAATATCTAAGCCGACTGTGGCGAAGTGACCTCGTGCCTCTAACTCGCCCTCTCGTCTTAGTCCTAACAGCGTCGACGCCCTCAAAACAACAAAACGATATCGACCTGGTCGAGCAGTAGCCGCGACCACCCAACAGTTACCGCCTGGTCGGCGCAGACATTGAACGTGGCCCACACGCACAAGTCGGGGCTGTGGCCACGGAAGACGCTAGTCATCACGGGGGGGAGTTTGGAGAGCCAAAGCCGGTCCTGTCACTCGGCTGGGTCAGGTGACCCAAGTGCAGGCTTGATTCTGTTACTTATGTTGGACGAAAAGAACTTTCGGCAGCAATCGCGATGCTGAACAACCAGGGAGCGCGAACGAGTCTGCAGGTGGCTCCGTTGACGATACAGAAGACCCGAGGTGGGCCGAGCGGAGGGTCGTCGGACGTGGTGGACTCGACGAACGGGTGCTCCGACTCGCAAATGACGCCGCCAGCGACCCCGAATAGCCTGCAGGAGAATTGCAACGAGCCCATCAGCAGCCCCGTCTTCCACAACTTCCTGCGGGCATTTTACCCTTTTCATCCCGATTACGTCACGAGCGACTCGACAGTGACGTTGCCATTGAGCGAAGGGGACGTTGTCCTTGTGCACTCCATCCACACCAATGGCTGGGCCGACGGTACCCTGTTGGCCAACGGAGCGCGAGGATGGCTACCCACGAATTATTGCGAATCGTACGACCCTGAGGAGATGAGGAGCTTGTTGAAGGCCCTGCTCAACTTCTGGGACCTGATGCGCAGCACCCTCGTGAACGACAGTGAGATGTTTGGCAACCAAGAGTACATGAAGGGAATAATCGCCGGTGTTCGATACCTACTGGTAGGTGGCTCGGCTAATAACCGCATACCCGAGAATAGAGTAACCTGACATGTTGCGCAGGAACAAACACAGTGCTTGACAAGAGAATGCCCTTTAGTCCAAAGACACGAGGGACTCCGGCGGAGTCGCAAGTCGCTCCTGTCCGAGCTCTCGTCGCTTGTCAAGACAGCTAGGCGGCTACAGGATGCGCAGAGAATGATTGGGACCGAAGATATCAATGACGTTGTTGATGAGATGATCCTGAAGGCTTTCAGGATTATTACTAAGGGTGTGAGGTTCTTGGACATTCTGGATGATGATCGGAGGTTGCGGATACCGTCGGTCACTGTGATGACCACGCTGCAAGAGGAAGTTCTCATCCCACTAACGCCGCCTGCCGATCCGGCTTCCCTCAGCGCCGCTGCAGAGACCCGCACTAGTGATTACGGCGAGTATTCCACTCCGGCATCTTTTACAGGCGACGCGGCCCCGGAGAGGGTATCGTGCGGCAGCCGTTTGTCATCCGGCTACCTGCAACAGAGCACCAATGCGCGCCGAGCATCGCAGAACAGTCTGCTGCAAACAAACCGACTGTCATCCACCATTTCCCATCGTGTCAGTTTGGCCGGCCCTTCGCCCTGCTCACAACCCCAGAACCTCGTTTCGGAGCGGCTCGAAACCTGCCATGATGCCTTCCTCTCGCACCTGGGATCTTTTATCGGACGGCTACACCTCCAATCGCAGTCGCGTCCCAGCTTGGCGATTGCCATAAAGCAATCTGCCACATCCGGCGGGGAGTTGCTCTTAGTCGTGGACGTGGTGTGCGCCCACACTTCGGTCGGTGTTGACGCGCTCGAGCAAGCCCGTACCGCCATGTACAACCGGATTCAAGACCTCGTCCACACGGCGCGCGACATCCTCAGCAATTCGGAGCCCGAGATGGAGGAGGACGTGATTGTACCGCACGATAATGTCCGCTTGTTGGGCGCGGCAACCGGTTGCGTGAAAGCCACAGGGGAGTGCGTTGCGAAAACAAGATGGGTTATCGAGCGGATCGGTGACTTCGAATTCGAGTTCGACAACGGTACCCTCGACATCGACTTCGGGTTGTCCGATTTAGCCTCAATTTCGGAGGAGCAATTCCAACAGTCCCAGCCCAGTGGCGCTGAATCGCCGAGCGTCGCCGAGTCAACCGTGTCCGAAACACCCACGGTCTCTTCGAGAGCGAATTCCGTGACCAGCGCCACGCCTGCACACGCCCGGTCCTTCTCGATCGACAAGCCGCTCCCGGAGGTCCCTCGAGTCACTTCTCCTGTTCCAGAGGAACCGATGTCGCACCCGTCGTCGCTCCTTGCGCCACAGCCACAATCGTTCCTCTTTGATGGCAGCAACTCCAGCGGAGTCTCGTCTGTCACCTCCCTCCGCCCCGACCTCCCCCCGCTCCGAGAGATTTCGACTACATCGTTGCCGACCGAAAGCTACAGCCCCACCGAGCCGTCTGCCATACAGGACGCCGAATTTCACGCTTTCCGATCGAGAGAGCATGACTGCCACGAGCTCCGGCTCCGGTAGCACCTACCTCAGCCGGGATTCGGAATCGAGCATCATTTCCCAGACATCGACCCGCGCGACGACACCGGATATCACACAAGCACCCAAGGCACAGCCCTCGCTCTCGAGCTTGAGCGTGTCAGAGAGCCTGGCGCCCACGGAGGACGACGAGGCCGAATCACGGCTGCTAGAGAAGACTTATGCCCACGAATTGATCTTCAACAAAGAAGGCCAAGTAACCGGCGGCTCGCTTCCCGCCCTGGTCGAACGCCTTACGACACACGAGTCGACTCCCGACGCCCTCTTTGTATCGACCTTTTACCTCACCTTCCGCCTCTTCTGCACCCCCGTCGCTCTCACCGAGGCACTGATTGAGCGGTTCGACTACGTCGGGGAAGCACCGCACATTGCCGCTCCCGTCCGCCTGAGGACATACAATGTGTTCAAGGGCTGGCTTGAATCGCAGTGGCGCGAGGAGACGGACCGAGAGGCACTTGTCCTCATCAAGGAGTTTGCCGAGCACCGACTGACGGCCGTACTCCCATCCGCCGGCAAGCGTCTTTTTGACCTGGCCGAGAAGGTGTCGGTGATTGATGGCGCCCTTGTGCCGCGCCTTGTCTCCTCCATGAGCAAGACGAGCAGCTCACTCGCTCAGCTCGTTCCTGCCGATACCCCGATCCCCGCCTCCGTCATTAGCAGGAGCCAAATGAACGCGTTGGCCAACTGGAAGATCGGCGGCACCTCACCTTCGATTCTCGATTTCGACCCGCTCGAAATCGCTCGCCAGCTGACGATGAAGCAAATGTCCCTCTTTTGCTCCATCATGCCTGAGGAGCTTCTAGGTTCGAGGTGGACCAAGTTTGGGGGGGTTGACTCACCCAACGTTAAGGGGATGTCCGTCTTCACTACGGGGCTGACGAACCTCGTTGTTGACACTATCTTGCATTTTGAAGAGGTCAAGAAGCGAGCCATGGTCATCAAGCAATGGATCAAGATCTCGAACCATTGCTCTTTACTTCACAACTACGATGCCCTCATGGCAATCACCTGCGCCCTCACCGACACAAGCATCAAGCGCCTGAAAATGACGTGGGATGCGGTCCCTAACAAGCGCAAGGAGATGCTCAAGGGGTTGCAGACGACCGTCGACTTCAACCAGAACTTCAAGGTTCTTCGAGCCCAACTTCACGACCAGGTGCCACCGTGCCTCCCCTTTCTCGGCATGTTCCTAACGGACCTCACCTTTGTGGATGTGGGCAACCCGGCTACGAAGACCAGCGACACAGGTCTGACCGTCATCAACTTCGACAAACACACACGTACTGCGAAGAGCATCGGGGAGCTGCAGCGCTTCCAGATCCCTTACCGCCTTGCAGAATTGCCGGATCTACAGCAATGGTTGGCAGCGGAGGTCGAGCGCGTGCGCGAAAAGGAGAAGGCAGGTGCCAATGCGCAGGCCACACACTACCGGAAAAGCCTGCTCCTGGAGCCCCGGGAGGCACAGCAATTGCGAACACCTATCGAAGGCCCCTCCGCCCCGATAGCCAGCAGCATGTTTAGCTGGATGAGGGGTAATGTAGGGCCTTCACAGGCTTGATATGCCATGGCACTTTGGCTAGCCGGCTTCTCGTCACCTTCCCCAACTACCGCGCTCTCACCCTTGAACCCCTCCAACCGCGGACCCAACATTTTTACGACATTCTAGTGATACCCCTATTTCGTCTTTCGAGTTTCAGCATCTTTATGCCGCCCAACGAGCGCATGGCAGCCATTCCATCTATGGTACCCACGGCACTCACCCGTCATCACCATATCCTATCCAAGTGACTCGGCCCGCTCGGCCATCGACTGTCCCGAACCTTGAGATGGGTTCGGAAGATCTTTGTACCACCACCTCGAAAACTATACATGCAAGATACTCGCGTATCGACGGCTCACGCCCCTACATCCGAACGATTACTGACGCCGGCATCTCCTTCGAGAATCCTCCGACTGTCGCTACACTCGGCAAGGCTCATACCTGTACATTTCCCATTCTTTCGCGTTGGATAGGCAGTGGGGCAGATGCTGGGTTTTGTGGTAGTCACCAAAAGCAAGAGAACAATGGTCGCCTGTGATTAAGTTTATCACCGATCCCTCGTTCATGTTTTGCTCATTCTTATTGTTCTCTTTTTTTCTTTGCGCTGTTGGATTAGGCGGGTGGGACAAAAACGGTCTTCATGTGGGGATGAACGCCATGACCGGACGCCATGATAGTCACGAGGCTAGGTTTTTGCTTGGTTGGGGGTATGCCCGTTGTCTTATATCCCTTTCTTTTGGCCGAGTATTGTATGTGGGAGGTTGGTTTTTGTGTATAGTTTTTGTGAGCGGGATTTGAGTCCTTGGGCTCGCCAACAAGGCTCGGCGCACTGCGAAACAGCGCACGAGGCTATGGATTTGATGCGTTGGATGTCGGTAGCATAGCGAGCGGTTGATAGTCTTAGTAGTAGGCTCCAATAAGTGTTTTAACTTTACCATGGCCGGCTTCTCAGTATTGTTTCTGGCTATGAGCATGGCTGGCCGGTGACCTTTGTGATTTTGGCGCTTCAAGTGTCGATTCTACAACAACCCTAACCCAGCGAGCTCATCTGTGGCCTGCCTTTCCATTTGCCTGCTGAGCACGCCGTTCCCAGCAACCCCCACAACACAACACTCAAGACAGACACGAGGTCACATACTCTCTCCCCACCACGACCACGACCACAACTATGCCCCGTAGCGAAGAGGCCGAAAACTTCTTCCACGCTGTTTACAGCGCCGTGCAGGAGATCCCGCCCGGCAAGGTGACCAGCTACGGGCACATCGCGAAGCTGATCGGGACCCGTAACAGACCCCCATTCCATTCTTATACCACACACACATACAACACAACACAACACGACCCCTCTCCCTTCTATTTCACCCCGCCAACTCAAGAAAGAACTAGCCCGACCCATAAATTAACTCTCAACCCCCTCCACAGCCGAGCGCCCACGCCAAGTAGGCATCTGCCTGAAGCATTTGCCAGTCGACCCCACGGAACGGTTCCACCATGACAACGTGCCCTGGCAGCGGGTGATCAATGCCAAGGGGGCTGTTTCACCGCGGTATGTGTGTTTATCGTTACTTGGACGTAATTATTGGATGGAGAGTGCCGTCCGTTTGTATGGGTAACCATACCCATACCACCCATATCATCTGTCCATGCCGTGCCACACTCCACAATACAGTGGCTCGAGTCGCTCAAGGATGGCTTAGATGGCTATAGGTTAAGTAGTTGACTAACTAACACCCTCGCAGATCCCAACCAGCAGGGGCGCGCAACCAGGCTGCGGCGCTGGAGGCCGAGGGCGTGACTGTGACCACGGGAGCGTTGGGCGAGCTGATGGTGGACTTTGGGGAGTTTGGGTGGTTTCCGCGGGTGTTGCCCTCGGAAGAAGGGCAAGGGTTGGGGGACTCTGACGAGGATGGGGAGGGGAATGGGGAGGATGAGGGCTGAAGGGGGGAAGTGGGTAAAGATGGAATTACATGATATCAAGACGAGCATGGCACGGAACGAGGATCATCACGGTGTGCGGCGGGGTATCCAAGTGTTTGGTTGACCAATTGTTATTTCTTGATGCTATCCGTCTCCAGCCTTCCAGAGCCGACCATGGGCCAAGTATATCCTCCTGCGCTGGGCGTTCAGGCGAACGATCGGAACTGGCGTGTCGGAAACGAAAGTCTAGCTTCATCGACTGTTAGCGTCTGGGCACCCAGGTAAATGCAAACAGAACGGATGAATGGTTGCTTTCTCAGATAGCGGTTGGACAAGTTTTTCCACATTGTGATTCGGTACAGGTCTGTGAACATTGTTTCTCTCATCATAAAAGCAGCAAGTGGGCAAAGAAAAGAGATCATAACGTACCAAGTCTGAATCCGTGGACGAGTCACCACCGAAACTGGTGGCGATGTGAGTGGGGTCAACCATCTCCAGGTCCCTGCTCAACCCTCGGTTTTTTGGTTGCAGGGCCAAAGAACGAATCCACCGTCCTCTGCCGCTTGTCGAACTGGGCGCTGCCGATGCCACCTCGAGTCTTTTTCAAGCCCTCCAGGTGTCTAACGACATTGACACCAACCACAGACAAGGTGATCCGCGATCGTTGTGGGGGCGGTGTCGACGGTGTTGTGGTCGGTGGTTTCGGAGTCAGTGTCCTTTTACCAGACACCTCAGCCGAGTTCGAGCCATCCGAACCACTTGCCACGATCGCCCGCGCGGAGCTGACCCCAACGACGAGGTCGACATAGCCGGTATTGCTCCAGCCCGGCAACTTCCCCAAGCGGGCCAGCTCGCGAGCACCAAACCGAGCCAACAGCACCCGCAATAGCGAGTCGAGGATCAGCCCGTGCGCAACCACGACCACGAAACCCCCAGCAGCCACCCGCTCGGCCGTGAGCAGCGGCTCCAGGCATCCCGTCACAAACCGCTCAGCACGCAGCCGCATCTGCTCTCTAGACTCGGCCCCCGCAGCAGCCAAGTCCACGCCCCCCACACCAAACTTCCTGCCCTCAGCCAGCCCAAAATCCCGCTCCCTCAGCTCCGGCAGCGCTACTACACCCACACCCCCAGCCCCATCACCCACACACCCACCCCGATCCCCATCAGCCCCCTTCGCAAGCGCCTCAACCACCAGCCCCGCCGTCTCCCCCGCCCTCCTCAGATCCGACGCAAACACATGCGTGACCGCCACACCCAGCTCAGCCGCCCGCTGCACGAGATGGGTGCCGAGCCGGCGCGCCTGCAGCACGCCGTGGGCGGTGAGCGGCGAGTCGCGGGATCCGGCGCTGGAGAAGCGAAGGGGGGCGGGTTAGAGGTAGGTGGGTTTTGGGGGGGAGGGGGGCGTGGTTGTGGTTGTGGACGACATACTAGATGCCCGCGACGTTGTCGACGGTTTCGCCGTGGCGGGCGAGGAACAGGCGCATGCTTCTTTTTTTGCGGGGGTTGTGGTTTGAAAGGTAGTGGGAAGGGCCGCAAGGCAATGGAATGCCTGGGCTAAAGATCTTGCATGGTTGGGTGATGGACAGCACGCAAAAAGCGTGGTGTTCGTTTCCTTTCCGCGATTGAAGCGTGGTTAGGGAAGAGTTTGAGGGATCTTGGGAGAGGCGAAAATTTTGATTTGTAGGGCTTGGAGTGGAGCCCCGCTGGTTGGTGGGTCGATATCCTCTTGCGGAACCTGCCTTGACCCAAAACAGCCAAATGTTAAGCAGGGGATTGATTCTCCAGGTGACTTTCGACGAGAATTTGGGGTTGCATGTGCAATGGAAGGAAAACAGAGCAGCTTTCTCGCGTGACTCCGAGTATGGTATATGCTATATTTCGCTAATAGACATGCTCCGCTATCCCGAACTCCGTAACACCCAAAATCCCACCGCTAAACTCCCGCCGCCCACCTCGCAATGCAGCCCAAAACCAGTTATCAAAAAAAATAAAAAATAAAAGCCATTTTCCCAACACGACCCGGCTCAGTCCTTGATGTTGTCCGGGTGCCAAGGACAGTCCGGCTTGTGGGCACTGTTGTCGCTCTCCAAGATCTCCTTGTGGCTAGCGAGACAGTCCCAACAGAACTCGTGTTTACACACTGCGCCTATCAAACAACCATCATCAGCAACAACATCCGACAAAAATGACAGTAATAATAAAAAGCCGATATCAGAAGGGCAGAACTCGCCGCACCTGATATTCCAACGACGCCACCGCCACGTCCACCGTCCGGCGCCCCTCCCCGATGCGGCCCGCGCCACCTCATCGCTCAACGCCGCCCGCCCCGACAGCTGATGCTGTGGTCCGAGGTCCATACGGCGTTGCAGCCCCAACAGAACTGGGATCGGCATCTGATACCTGCAAAGGAGTCGCGCCTCCTGTTTTAACATCTATCGTGGAGGAGGAACGAAGAAGAAGGGCGGGCCGTGCGTCCCACTTGGGACCGCCCGCCGCCTGAGGAAAGGGGGAAAGCAGAAAAGGTAAGCTTACAGGTCATGTGCGCGCTGCGGAAGTAGTGTCAGCTCTGATCAATAACAGTATAACTGGTTGGTTGGGTTACTTACCATCCCTGGTTCTTCTCGATGGGCGCCTGACACCCGGGGCACGGCTTGGTGGTGCTCCCGACGGTGCGGGTGCTGGCCTCCTCCTCGAGCTTCTTGCGGGCCACGGCTTCCCGCATCTCGCGCTCCTTGGCCTGGCGCTCAGCCCTCTCGGCGGCCTCTTTCTCCTCCCTCTTGGCGCGCTCCCTGGCGGCGCGTTCCTCGGCCGCGACACGCTGCTCCTCAGCCAGCATGCTCTGGGCAAAGACACGGTCGGCGTCCTCCTGGGCCTGGCGCGCGGCGGCGGCCTGCTGGGCCTCCTCGTTCTCGATGTCGAAGCGGCTGCGGAAGTTGGCCGGGTCCGCGAGCAGCGTGTCGTACTCGTCGCACGTCAGGTTCTCGTGCCATGCCACCTTGTGGTGGAAGCACGACCGGTACTCACACAGCCGGCACGTCACGATGGGCGACGACGCTCCGCCCTCGTGCACCTGCCCGTAGCCGCACCCCGAGGTGCACCAGATGAAGTTGGGTGACGAGGAGATGGCGGAGCGGAAGGAGAGGGTTTGGTAGCTAGGTATGGGGTGTTAGGGTTTTCTGGTTGGGGCGAGGAGGAAAAAGCGAGGAAAGGGGAAGGGGTGCTTACCGCTCCTTCGTTTCGTCATCCGCAAAGCGTTGGACATCATCGTACTCCAACAGCTCACGGCATTCTGGGCACTTGATCTCGTTCCAGAGCCGGCTGCTAAGGTCGGTTCGGATGGATGTGGCAACGCAGACGAGGCACGCGGTTGGCTCGTGGGTGCAGGTCTTGGTGATCGCCGCCGTGGGAAACTCGGACACGGGCTTGGTGTCGGTGCAAATGATGCAGTCACGGTCCCCGCTGAGGATATCGGGCAGCCTCCGCTGGTTTGTGATAACAACCGTGGCTGTCTTCCTTGCGACTTGGTATCTTTGCCCAAACCTGTAAGAGTTAGCAGAGTGCCCAAGCGGAACCCATAACTTGGTACGTACCCAAGCTCGTCGAGTGCCGAGGTTGGGAGAGCATCGGCGGGTCCAGTCCGTGTCGGGCTACGCAGGAACGACATCGTCATGGCGTTCTGTCTGTCCTCGATGGCTGCCGCGTAGGGGTTGTTTGACCGGTTGGACTCTGTGCGGTTTGTGGCCGCATCCCCGCGTGGGAGTGTTTCCCCCGCCCGCCGTGCCCCCGTTCCCCATAACAGATCCCCGCCCCCAAGGGGGGTCAACGCCGCGGAGCGGTCCGCGAGAGGCGCCGAGGGTAATCTCGGATCCTGTGTCCGCGCCCCCCCTGCCGGCGTCACCGCGCTCGTGGCATCTCCAGCAACGCTTCCGCCATCCGTTGCCATACCTGGCGCGACGCTAGCCGTATCATCGTCGAAGTCTCGGAGGAGAGCAGCGTTGAAGCGCCAGAAGTCCAAGACGGCGGATCCCAGACCCCACGGATTTGGAACGGTCCGCTCTTGGTGCTGCTCGCGGCGTTGTTGTTGGTTCTGTGGCTGCCGTCGTGGCTGTTGTTGGTGGGGTCGTTGCTGTTGTGTTTGTGGTGGGCGATCCTCAACCAGGCCCCCCTCCGTGCGCCCCCCAACTTCTTCCTCCACATCTTCGTCCCAATCAAACCCGAGAATGGCTGGGTTTATGGGGCCATAGAAGGCCCTTGTTGATGGCACAGTTGCCGCCATGGTGCTTTTACCACCGTTCAACAGTGCGACCCAAGAAGGCAAACGCCAAAAGCCTGAAAGAGCGGTTTCCCCGCGGACGCTCTGGCGGCGCGGCCGAACCCTTTTGTCCAGACGCTCCTGTCGAATCGTAGTCAGCCACATGTGTTCCTGATAGACGATGCCGCAGATGGAGGTGTCAGCGTTGGGCATGGGGGTCACGAGTGCCAACGCGTGACGTGTGCTCGCCGGGGGTAAGACACGGAGGCTCGCGGGCTTCAGTGGTATGGACAGCAGGGTGAGGCTGTATGGATGCACGAGTGTGAACTCTTCTTCCTACCTGAAGTGAGGCTCGACCTAAACTGGCAGCGTAAAGTTGCAAGGGATTCTAGGAGCGCACGGTTGTTGTTGAGCGCTCAAATTCCTCCCGAAGGGTGATGTCGCTTGCTTCTAACAATGACTTGCACACTATTAGGTCGTCTGGTGCTACGCTTGCAGCAGTGAGAGTGAGGCTGCATTTCACCTCGATCAAAACTTACTGGGCTGTGCTTCGCCGCTACCACAATCTTGCTGGTGACAAGTAAAAGTTCTGAGGTTGGTTGGCTGCCGTTCAGTTCCCGACTAGGTTGTCGCTGGGAAGAACGCGGAGAGAAAACGGATTTCTTTGGACAGTTGCGTTTTCCAACAGATGGAAGGGAGAAAAGAACGGGAGCAAATGGTGGGGCAGGCAAGGTAAGTACAAGTAGGGAAGAGAAAGCCCAAGCTAAAAGCTGAATCGGCGATGATTATTGCTGCCAGCTGGATATTCCGAAATTACCTGTAATCGATACCCAACCACCTAGAAAGTTACCACACCTCTACCTAAGCCCAACAGTGTCAAGGGAGCGAGGCTCTGTTCAACCCCGGACTCACCCCCGAGTTTGGGTGGGGTAAGACGCCAGAAGTGGGGGAATTATTACGGTATTATAATTAGCATCGGTCAACCGAGGCGTATTTCAGGATGTTTCTGGGGACCACAGAGCGGCTATATACGGCAACAGGCCTACCTATTTTGCTACCGCCACGACCGCAAAACGATCGTCCTAGATTGCGATCTGTGTGGACACGGTACGGATGTTCACATGGCAGCATTTGTGCTCTATCTGAGTGTGGGTCTTTTGCTGTGTCTTACAGCACACAGCCCTTGAAAGTGGGGGTTGAAATGGTACGGTAAATTACAGAAACGTGAATTGCCCCCATCTCCCAGCATCACCACCTTCACCACCTCGACATCGTGATTACGTAGCTGGCATGGACGCTTGGACCTCCTGGCCGTTGAGCTATTGTTGTGTACATAGGTACATACAGGTCAGGTAGGCCGGGAGAAATTTCGGCCTTCATCCCCATTGCAGACCCCGCCATGGCCAGACACCGCCATCTTGTGCCCGCTCCCCCCTGTCGCGCCGTGAGAAGCACAGCTGATGCATGAGGGTGCGCTGGCCATTGGCAAGGAATCTCTCCCTCTTCTCCTCTGGGCCCCAGGCTACCAGCACCTGCTGCATGCGCACCACCGTCGGCTCCTTGATCACGTCCCCCTTGCCTACTTGTCTCATGTAGAGCGCCGGGACAATGGTGGCCACGTTATTGAGCTCCTTGTAGAGCTGCTCCTTGCTCGGCCGAGGGTCCAGCTTGGCCACGTTGAAGGGCTTTCGGTTCTGAAGTATGTTTTCGCATCGTAGCGTGTGCAGGTCGTCGAGGAAGTCTGGGCTCATCTCGAGCTCTTGGCGGGAGTTCCATAAAATGTATGGGTTTAGGTCAAGGTAGAAGTGGTGCGTCGACGTCATCAACTTCTCGTGCAACGCCACCGCGGGCTTAATGATGCCATCCTGGCAGGCGACGCAGAGCCCGTTCCAGTCCTTGTCCCTGCGGAACACCTTGAAGAGTAACGCCATCTCGGTTGTGAGCTCCTTAATCCGCCCGTGCCGTGAGCGCGCGTAGTCGGGCGAGCAGAGGACGGCGTTGAGGGCTTCGGCCCGCCACGTCCGCAAAGCAAAGAGGTCTGAGAACTTGCAATCAGCGTGTCTTCCACCACACAAAACAGTGTTTGGCGTGGTGGCCTACCTCGTTTGGGCTCGACGTTGGTCTGCATCTGGCCTTCCAGGAAACTGATGACCTCGACCGTCTTAGGGACGGCCCCGTAAAGAATCTTTTGGAAGATGTGGTCTTGCAGGAAGCGCATCACGACAGCAATGAGGATGTCGATATCCGTTTCGGGAAACATGCAGCCGTAGACCAAGTCGCCTTGGCTGTGTAAGTACCGCTTAAGCTTCTGAACGTCTGCCGGCCGTTGCTTAGCGGCCGCCAGAACGTCATCCATCTTATTGTCGTCGTCAAGAATCGGATCGATGAAGTTGGTGACCCAGTCAGTGATGCCGTTGACGAGATCATCGAAGTCCTGCTTCTTGTTAGGCCGGGGCCGGCCATGGTCCGGCGGGTGAAACAGCTTACCTGGCCCACCTCCTTCGGAGTGAGGTCTTTGCGGTAGGGTTGCAAGCTGAAGATGTGAGATCGCGCTTCGTCTAGCTCCGCCTTGAGGCCACTATTTTCCGCTTTCAGCGTCGTCGTCGTGTCTGCCAAGTTATTGTGGTCCATCACCGGCTCATTAGACCTGCTAGATCGAAGCTGTCGAGTTAGTTCTTCAGCTGCCCGCTCCGCCTGGTCGGCGCGGCTGTTAGCCTCTCTGAGCTGCTCCCGCAAGCTCTCCATCTCCCGCTGGACCCTGTCTTCCTCGTCTTGGTCTGGGCTGCGCTGTGGGCTAAGCGGTTCCATATCGTCTCGCGATAATGCCAGCCTTTGGGCGAGAGTATCTTGGTAAGCATATTGGGCCGCGAATAAGGCATCCTGAACCTTGAAACTGGGATACCACGGCTGATGCCACCTTGGATGTTGAACCTGAGGGGTCGGGAAAGCTCGGAACTGATCTGACCTTGGGTTGCCGCTGATGGCCGCATCAATACTGTCAGGGTTGGGTAACGAGGTAGGAGGACTGCGTGCCTCCATGATCGGCGGCGCTTGGCGGTGCAGCCCTGCTGGGCCTGCTCGTGTTTCGGTGTGCTCGTTCAGCGGGAGCTTCTCGGGTCGTTTTGGCGGCGCACTTTCATGGGCGGGAGGTGATTTGGCGGGTTCACCACCAAACTCAGGCTTGAGATCTTCCATCGGCTGGATCTTGGCCGACTTAGGGGTCTTGGGGGCCTTGGGGGACTTGCGAGAGTTCCGGGAGTTGTGCGGGGGGGCGGTGCTGCCCGGGCCGTTGTACCACTTTCTGCGGGCCATTTTTTTGGTTGGTCAAGTAAAACCGGGAGGGAGGACAAAGTATGGGCGTTTGGAGAAGAACCGTGTATGCGCAGGTACAAATTGCCTGGAGTACGTGCAGTGAGGCTGAGGGCGGGGTTATATGGGATCAACACAAAAGACGGGCAGTTTGACCCTGGGAACCGGAGCAAACGACGGAAACCGTCGAAGCTGGGAATGGTAAATGAATGAACAACAGGCCAGCATTCCCATCACAATCACTATTATGTGCATTTTGTCCATCTGACGTCAAGGACAGCTATGGGTACCTAGGTAATTACCGAATTTTTCAAAATCAGCTTGATCGGAGAGAAGCATCATGGAAAGAAATCGGCCCCGGTTTGAGATTGGGTTGCCCGGGATGAATGGAAGGGTCGAGATGCGCTTCATTGCATGTGGTGATTCATTCTTGGCAGTCGGGGGGCGCCACGATCGCTAGCGTGCTCCACAACCCCACTTGCCTTCTGTGGTCAACAGCACGCATCAGTCCACAGCGGGCAGCCTCACGATGCTGCCCCGCGATCTGCTCCACGTTTCCTCTGCCTATTCATCTATTCATCCGCAACCTCACAGTTTGCTGCACCCAGAGGCGAGTGGGAGATGTCGGGCCAAAACGGTTGGACGGAATCCAACGCAGTACCCGAAGCTTCGGAATTTCGGATCATGCGATGACGCGAGCACTCAAATGATGCGCTGTCGTGTCGGCAAGCAAGCAAGCAAGGAAGCAAGCAGAACAGCCCGTGGTTACACACCTGCCGCCTGCCCGGGCAGCCTTACCGACGGGCTTTTTTGTCGACCTTACCCCACCAGCCCACCTGTCAACCTTTGAACAGTTTCCCGCTGCTCCCAGCTTGACTGTGGGTGGGAGACGAAGCGCATTCGAACCTCGGGAAGCGAAACTGCATTAGGTAGCCCCCTCGGGCTGAAGTCTGACCGACGAATTGCGTTTAGCGATAGCTCGGGAGCCCAGAGGGGCGTCGTTGACGCTGCATGGCGGGGATTCCACCCACCAGGAATGGATAAGGACCCCCGCTGGAGGCTGTCCATTCCCGTATCATGACGCTGTGTGCCAGAACAACCCAGAAGCCCAGAAGCCCAGAAGCCCAGTCGCCCGTGGACGAGGCACTGCGCCGCCTTCGCATGTCTGAAGTGTGGCGTGAAAGGCACTTCCTTTCCGTCAGTTGATGCAGAGCTAGCACCGCTTTGGCCTTCGGTCGACCGAACAACCAAAGCACCGGACAACCAAACGCTCACACCTCGCATCTCAGCCGCTTTGTTCTCGGCTTGTAAACTCTCTGTTCATCATTACCTCTCCTGTATGTTATTCTCATCTCATCCCGACAGTTACCTACCTCCTCTGCCCCTTTCTCTGCCTCCGCACTTGTGAAATACTTAGTCTTCTTCTTTTTCACTGCCTTCTCCAACCACCTTCTCCGTTTGTACGTACCGTACATACCTACCTACATGTGCCTCTTTGCCTCTCGAGGTTCCCAACACCTCTAGCCGTTCGAGACACGCATCCATCTACAAAATACAGTTGTACACCATGGATTTCGACAAACTCAGCATCAGCGAACGCAAGATCATCGTCGGCATCGACTTTGGTACCACATACTCGGGCGTAGCTTGGGCCGAGACACAGCGTCCAGATCGCCGCGTTGCTGTCACCGTTTGGCCCATCTCCAAGACAACCCGCGAGGGCGAGTCGTCAGATAAGGTCCCGACCAAGCTGTGGTACGCCAATGGCAACGACAATCCGGATTGGGGGTTTTCCATCCCCATGAATGCGCCCTCAGATGAGGTCGTTGAGTGGTTCAAGCTGTTAGTTCTCACCACCTGCGCTGCCTCCATCACCGTTTGCATGCTGACTCGGCCAGTGACCTTGACCCCTCTCTGCAATCCATGGGAACCGCAGTGACTAGCGCCGCCACGCGGGGTGGCCGCAATGTTGACAAGCTTGTCGCCGACTACATGTCGGCACTTACTGACCATCTCATGTACACCCTGCGTGAGAAGCTGGGAGAAGGTGTTGTCAAGAGCACCGCCCTCGAATTCGTCGTCACAGTTCCCGCAATTTGGAGCGATTTGGCCAAAGACAAGACCAAGCAAGCCTGCCATCGAGCCGTTGGACCCCTCTCCCAAACCACCACGCCCCCAATTCACCTCATCTCTGAACCCGAGGCCGCCGCCATCTACGCCCTCCACGGCCTTGACCCCCACGGTCTTCAGGTGAACGAAAGGTGAGGCCCTCCACTGCCAACCCACGGTTGAGGCCGAGATGCTAACCAACGGGGCAGCTTTGTCATCTGCGACGCTGGTGGCGGTACTGTCGACCTCATTTCTTACACCATCACCAACCTCAAGCCCATTCTCGAGGTTCAAGAGGCGACCCCCGGTACCGGCGCCCTTTGCGGCTCCACCTTTCTCAACATGAGGTTTGCCAAGTTCCTCAAGGCCAAGCTGGGGAAGGCAGACGGATGGGATGATGAGGTGCTCGGCGATGCGATGGAGAGGTTCGAGAAAACGGCACGTTTCCCCCGTCCTGCCCCACCAATTTTGCCTTGAAGACCTTCTAACACCCACGCAGGTCAAGCGCCAGTTCACATTGCACGCAGCGGACGACGAAACATACACCATCCCAGTCGGTGGCCTCGCCAACAACAAAGAGCTTGGTATTAGCCGCGGGCGCTACGCCCTCAAGGTAAGCCTCCGCCCCCATCTCTGCGAAGCCAATTGGAAGCAGCCCCCCTTAACGAGCCCCAGGCCTCGGACCTCCGTGTCATCTTCGAACCCGTCGTGCAAGAAGTCGTCAAGCTTGTCAAGGATCAAATCTCGTCCTCCAAGGTTCCCATTAAAGCCGTGCTCTTGGTCGGCGGCTTCGGTGCCTCCAACTACCTCAAGGAACGCCTTCGTGGTGCCATCGACCCCTCCATCCAGATCATGCAGCCGCCCAACGCCTGGCTGGCTGTGGTGCACGGCGCCGTCATGAAGGGGCTGGCGCAGAGCGCGCCCGATCAGCTGACCGCTGTGCGGGTGCAGAACCGCAAGGCGCGCAAGCACTACGGCACCGAGTGGCGGCTGCGGTATGACGACAAGGTGCACCACCACCTACGCAACAAGAAGCACTGGTGCGGCCTGGACGGCTGCTGGAAGGTCTACACCATGGAGTGGTTCATCCGCAAGGGCGATGCCGTGTCGGAGAACGAGCCCTTCTTCACCAGCTTCGTCTGGACGGGGCCCGTCTCCGGGGGCCGCATCAAGAAGATCAAGATGGACATCTACGCCGACCGGACCGCGCGAGACGCGCCCTTGGCGAGGGATGATAACGTCACCCTGCTGTGCCATGTTGAGGCCGATGTCAGCCACATACCCGAGAATCAGTTGCATAGACGCAAGGGGAGTGATGGGAACGTATGTATCGCCCCCCCAGTTCGTCACTGTTATGTTGTGCTAATAAGTGGTTAGTGGTACTACGAACTCAACTGCAAGATTGAGGCAGTCTGTTAGTCTCTCCCTCGCCTCCTCCCCCAACCCCTGGAGATGCGGGTGACTTAGTGGCCCAAACTAACGTTATGGTTCCAGATCTCTCTGCTTCGACGCAGTACACCCTGTTGTACAACGGCCAGCGGTACAACTCGGTCACAACCGAGTACGTCTAAGGCCTTCATGCGCCGGGATTGGATTTTTGGGTGTATGGACGGCGTTCTAGGATCGGGTTGGTGGCGTTCATCGAGATTTTGGAAAGGAACATTTGGAGGATCGCCCGGTCAAGACGGAAGGCCATAGACAGAGTACCCAGGCCGTGAATCAACGTTTCGGATATCTTCGCCACCTTCCCTCTCAATATTTTCTTTTTTTTATTTCTTTTCAGTGCTTCCATTCACTTCGACTCCTCTCCCTCCCTTTTCGGCCATTACTTTTGTCCTTGTCTCTCCTGCTTACTCTTATTCCAGACTCCGAACGGTAGTTCGGGAACTCTAACACCAATAAAAAAACGAGGCCGATAAACCAGGATTTCGCAATGGGAGCGTTTAAAGCAGTCATTAATTATGTATAGGCACATATCAGGCCCTCCATCGGCCACCCGGCCTAGATCGAAAAACTTGTGTTCTTCACGCAAAGATTCTTGAGTCATGTCTCGGCAATTATCGTCAATGATGACGTTGGTATCAGGCCAGACTCCAGGTTGGTCACATGCGGACATTTACAAGTTCGGCAGTGCGGAAGATCAAGCACGTCAGAGGTTCCACCCATCTTATCTCGCTATAGCCTCGAGTGGGGAGCCGAGGTGGGCTGATTTATTAGCAAGATGTCTCCAAGTCGGGCGATGTTCTATATAAAGGGAGTTGACGCTTTGCTTGGCCCCCCGATCAACTCGAACACTCTGAACTAAACCAAAGCCCACGAAACCACAACCCCGAATCTATTTCATCATGGGCGTCCCTCTTCCTTACATTAGCAAAATACAAGCAAGATGTGCAGTGCGGTGTCATTGTCGGGCTCTCGGTCGATGACAAGACCTCCCAAGACGCCGCCACGGAAACCGCTTCACCCGTGGCGACCACCCTCCCCCTCTCGCCTACACGCTTTGTAACCATGCACCCGGCGCGGACAACCTTCGTCGCGCTTCAGCCTCCATCGCTGCCGGGAGCAGGCGAGCCCGAGACGGTAATCATCACCGTCAAGCCCGCAGAGGACGAAGCCGACCCGTTCGCTGTCATCGGCTTTGACATCACCTTGACGGAAGACTCCGAGCTGAGAATCAAGCCGAGGCGGAACAGGATCAACTTAGTCCTTCTGTCCACGAAGCTCATGAGGAGGGCGGCGATGGAAGTCGACCAATGTCGGGCTCTGCTGGGGAACCGAAAACGCTGCCAGCTGCGGAGGAACGGCCGGGACTGGTGCCCTGTTCACCGCGAATACCATCAATTCCTTCACAACGGGGAGCTGAATGACCGGAAGCACCTGTATGAGCAGGTCAAGCAATTCTTCTACATGGATAGCAACAATGATTCTTGAGGCAGAGGAAGTGCTCAAATGGATTTTGTGGTTGTTGCAGCTAGAGCTGCACCAGCTGAAACCAAGAACTGTGAGTGGGTTTGTGCACAGGCCAACCTGCAGGGCGCTGGCCCTGCAGGTGCCAACAATGTTGCCAACATCCGCGTCTACAACGGCATCCAGGCGTCCCTGGCGTTGCGCATCATGGTCACCGAAATCCTCTACGCGGGCGACGAAGACGACAACCACGGCACCTTTTTCCACATGACCAAGCAGAACCGGGCCAATCTGTCCCAGCAGCTGTCCTGGAATCGGTCCGACGGCTCGAACAGGAGGCCCATCTCAACCTTCATCGATGACTTCCTTGCCGCGGCGAGGGAGCGGGAGGGCAAGCCGGAATCCCGCAGCGTGTGGGCAGACAGCGCCGTCGTGAACCTCGCCGACGTGAGAACCATGCAGGCCTTCCAGACCCAAAGTCGGTACCCGTCGGTATCCGAGCTGTTTGGCGCGGCCGGGTCGCTCGAGATGCGTAACCACCTCCTCGAGAAGGCCAGGCTGAACGGGGACCTCCCGGACCTGCCCCCACGACCGACGCCACAGGCCCCTGTGGTTGTAAAACCGCTGACTGAGGAAGAGGAACGGGAGTATTGGGTGAAACGTGGTGCTCAATGTTGTATAGACACGTCGGATTGGTAATTGTCACATGAACAGCAGATGTAAGGAAGCCAGGATTCTCTGTGTATGGGAAGGAACCTTGGATAGAGCGTAAGCGCGAACAATTCCGCTGTTGGAGCTAGTTTTTCAAATACCCTATAGACCACCTTTTTGGCTAGTTACTATCATAATACCACAGATACTTTTGTCAGGTGCTCATCGGCTCATGTTATATCCATCAGAATGATTATTAGGAGGCGTGATATGATTGCATGCATGGGTTCGACGAGTGTTGTCTTTATTCTCTATCATTCTATGCTCTCATCTATCTCGTGTGACTGACCCCAGCCCTTTCTTCTTTTTTTGGTTGTTTTGTGATTTTCTTCCTTTTTTTTTTCTTTTTTCTTTTCCGCGTAACGCCCTGCCCCTGTATCAATTCCGCCCTGCCCCCCTATCAATTACCAAAAATGTGGCCTAGGGTTTGCGCGGAGGGCGAGGCGGCCTTTGGGTCTCGGCAATGTTCTCGTTTTCGCCCCGTTGCTTCTTCTCCCAGGCCTCGATGAGCCAGCCGAGTAGCGCCCTTCGGGCCTGTGTGTTCTCTGCCCCAGTGCAGGGGACCAAGGTCCCCTTGAGGATGGGGCGGTCGGTCGGTTGGGGCGGTGTTTCGAACACACCTAGGAAGAGGTATTTGCCGTCGTAGAGGCTGGCGTACCGCGTCCCGTAGGTGGGGATCTGCACATAGTTTGTGATCTGCTTGATGATGGACAAGATGGACAGGTTGGCAAAAAGAGTGGAGTTCTTGACCCCCGGCTCGCGATACATAGCCCTTTGGAACTCTTCCGCGTCGATTATCCCGTAGTTCTTTATCTCGAGCATCGCAAACGAGCCTGTCGTGGCGCCCCATGACCTCCAGACGCGGTCGACTCGGGCTAGGTTACTGTACTGATACTCGTTCGTAACCTCAACGGGCTGTGCTAGAGTCGCGCCCAAAGCGTGGCTCACCGCGTAGGTGAGATGAGTCGACGAGTAGGTGACGATATCAGCCTCTCTTCTGACGCGGAAGGTAGGTTCGAGTGTCGGGGTGTGGCGGGCTGACAAGGCTTGCTTGACCGAATTTTTGGAGAGGTGGGCGTTCGCGATGACTAAGTAATGGTTGATGTTGATCGGCACCCAGTATTCGGGCGGGATGGTCTGTCCGACGCGTGCGCTTGAGTCGCCGTCACTTCCTGGCTTGAAATCCGCCGCCATGTCTAGAGAGTGCAAGGGTTCGTAAAAGGCTTGAAGCAAGGTCGACTCCGAACTTTTCAGTTTAGGTGTGGACTCGTACAGCTCCGCCGCAGGGAGCAACGACTTGGGCAAAGATTCGTTGGTTGGCCGAGACGGGAGTTGCTGGCTAGGAGAGGATGATGCACTTGGGTGCAAAGATCGCGGCTTGGGCGTCGCATCGGCTGAGCCAGGTGCTGACCGAGTAATGTGATCTGGCACCTGGGAACCTTTGGGCGTCGATTGAGTGGTAGAATGGGGTTGAGTGTGTATTCTTGGGTGTAGAGTTGCCTGGTTTGGGCGTCAAATCACTTGAGCTCGTCCCTGGGGACGATCGAGTTTTCTTCGCAGGCGACGTCCCTGGCTGCCCCGAGGGCGACGGCCGCACGGGCAGCTCCACACTCTTTCCTGGGGATGTCTTTTGTGGCGCTTTCGGTGGGGAAGGTTGGCGACTTTGCTGGCCCTGTCGCTCCGGTGTTTTCGGACCTGATGGCGTGGAAGGGCCGTTGTCGTGAGCCATGATGGGCTACGGATGACCTCGTGTGTTATCGACAGCGACGTTGGATTGGCGGTGGGGTGGTGGACAAGGACAAGGGGCGAAGGTTCGGCGGTAGGGCGGGGGAGTGGCTTGATGTCTTGTACAACAACACAGTTTGCGGTCAGCAAAAAAGCGGATGTGTATGCTTGCTCAAGCAGTGTTCTTTGGTCTCTTTGGCTTTTGTTGTTTGACTTTGAGAGAAGGGCGTGGGTTGGGAGGATGGTTTTATATCGGCTCTCAGTGCAAGCACTCTTGAGCTTTAGCCGCCAGAGTCTTGTCTTGCTCTCCTCTCGATCACCGCCTCCAGTATCAAGGTTCCAAGGCCGGCCGCCCCCTTCTGCTAGTTTCTGGCCGGCCACTCTCCTGAAGGGAGCACGGTGACGCTGAATTGTGGCAGGCCCAGCCATTTCTGGACGCCCAACTGCTTCGACCAGGTCTCGAACTGGCCACAGGTTACCTACACCCAGGGCACAGTACGTCAGGTAAGGTAGCCTCGAGGCACAGAAAGGCCCAACATGGTTTGGGAAAGTTGTTGAGCGACCGTGTCGCCGTCGCCTCTTGGTTGGTTCCCCTTACGCACCAAGATAGGGGCTCAGAGAGCTTGCCCCCCTTTCCCCGCCTCTTGTCCCAGCTCGTTGGGACAGCCGCAAGCCCGAAGTATCTTAGCTCAGGTACCTAATTATCACACTCATCTTGTTCAGCAGGTTGATCCTGAAAAAGACGACTGTCGCGGAGAAGCCAGTGGACGAGTCACAGACAAAACGGTTGCGGTGGCCTCTACGAATCTACGACTCCTAGTAGCACTGGAGAAAGCCATTACTTCGTACGCATGAGTACATGAGCACGTTGAATGTGGTATGTTTCTCGTTCGTCTACATATAAATTCCTAGGTACGTGGTCCTCGGGAGCCTTGGATTCGAAACCCCGACGGTGAAGAATCTATTAGAAGCCCGTGACGCTTCCAAGCGGCCGTTGCCGGCCAGGGACTCAGGGGCTGTTCGGGGGACAGGGGACGTTCGAATTTCGGAAGTCGGCGCCGGGCGGCCCAACGATATGAGGCACCCTTCGCACATATTTGCGCTGCACGCTAATTACCCTAAAATAATCACCGTCTTCTCAAAGGCCCCGCCCCCAAATGTTTCAGTACCTGGCCTTTGCGGCGCCGTTCCACGGCTCCGGGTCGATTAGAAGTTGCCAACCGAAACAAAACGATGTTAAACTGACAGGACTCAAACGGATGATTGGTGAACGGGGAAGCAGCCCAAGCCTACATTGCAGCTGAACTCGTCTCATATTGTCTCATATAATCTTGTTTGGTATGGTTTCGTCTCGTCTTGTCTCATCTTTTTGTTTACCTTTTAGGTCAGAGCGGTCAGGCGGCCAGGGTGGCCAGGATGTCTAGCCGGTTGGTGGCACCTTTTCAGCTTTCTTAGACTGTGTGGTTGGACGGTTTGGTTGGTCCCACCGGGGGTTTGGTTTTGCCGCCTCCTAACTTCTAAGTACCTAGGTAGCTAACCACCAACCACCCACCAACCAACATTAAGTTTGCGGGAACCAGTTGCATCTGCCCACATCTGTTGACAGCGTTCAAACCTGGCGTAAACACCCGATGCCGATGCTGGTGATGTTTCTTGTCCGTTTCTCGTCGCAATTATACTCAACCGGAATCATTGGATTTATCTTTTCACCAACACGCACCCCACTCGGTACATACCTGGTACCTAGTCTTCAGTCACCGCAACCATGCCATCCTCGGATTTAAGCGACGGTGAATTACGAAGACGCGCTACGTCGACCATATACCGAGAAAACAAAACCCTCCGCATCCGTGAACATCTGCCGCCAGAGCCATTCACGGGCGACTACGGGCCTAGTCCCCGTCCTGAAGTCGACTGGTCCCCATGGCAAGACGTACCCTATTGGCAAATCGACCGTGTTGAATTCGCCCTTGCCAACCCGCCCATTGAGACGGAGCCCCCGACCGGCCCTGAACGGACATTAACCATCGGCCGGACCCTGACGCGGCCGTCCCGTGGCGGTATCAGTGTTGTCACTTGCTTCCTCGATGGGGACCGGTCGGTCGAGTACGTGGCCAAAATTTACGATGGCGTCGACTACCTCTTGAGCGCCTGGGACGATGGAACTGAATATGAAGGCAAAGGAGGTCACCTTGATTGCATGAAATGGGCAGACAGGGACTACAGCATTGAGGCTTGGGCCTATAGGACCATGCTGCCAGTGATTGGGAATACTGGAATTGTGCCTGCCTACCACGGGTCGTGGACCTTCGCGCTCCAGACCGACCAGCCGGGCCGGCAGCGATGGGTTCGCATGATCTTGATCGAACTCGTCCAGGGCGAATGCATGCTGGATCTTATGAACCGGGGGGAAAAGGAGCCCGGCAGCGGAAAGATGGATTACGCCCTCCTGCCGCCAGAGGAGTTCCGCCTCCGCGTCCTCCAGAACATACTCGAGGCCGAAGTTACCATCTGGAGGGAGACTGCGGTACTTCACAACGATATCGAGCCGCGGAACATCATGGTCAAGCCCGATGGCAACATCGTCATCATCGACTTCAACCAAGCCACTATCTACGACTTCATCCTTTACGACCTCAAGCACCCAAAGGATACGGATCCCGATTCCCTCCCCTTGACGCCTATCGAGTGGCATTGGCCCCTCCCGAAAAGCTTCGACAAGTGGGCGAGGTGGGTTCCCGAGAAATGGCTCGAGGACAAGGAACTGAGCGCCGAGTGGCTGATCTTAACGTACCGAGGCTCGCCGCGCTTCGAGCCAGCCAGCGCCGGTTTCCTGGACCACCCTGTCCACCTACGCCGGAGCAAACGGGTTCAGAAGTTGCTGGAAGGCCTGGGCCGCAAACCTGGCTGAGATGGACTAATACGATGGGCCTCTTGTATAGGGTGGAGTGGCAGGGAATGGGAGCAGGTAGAACTTGAGCGAGTCACGGGTGTGAAATTTGGACATGGCACTTTTCAGCGTGTGAGGTATTTAGAATACAACTATGACACAGTCAAGGAAACCTCAGATTCTCACCACCATCGTAGTTTTTTCAAGGCACAATTTCTTACATGTCCCCCTCTAGCGCCGCCCTACACCACCGACTTTGAACCAACTCGTAATCACCACCTCCTGATCTCTGGCCAAGACTATTACTTAATACCGGCCGTACAACGTGTCAAACCAAGAAACTCAGAAGGTTTCAGGAGGGGATATTGATTACTTTTAAGGCTCGGCAGCGGGGCCGATACACATACTGGAATAACCCTTTCCCCGCGCCTGGAAGACCTACCTCCCTAGGTAAACTTCATCGCAAGGCCAGTATCAAACCCAGGGCCCAACCGCCATAACCCTAACCCCCAACACACCACCAGACCAGGCCAGACCTTAACCCAAACACGTCACCAAAGCAACAACAATAACACAGCCTGGAACGCTTCACAAACCCTCACCGACCCAGTCCCGACCATACCGTACATACGTACACAAAACACTCGCATCATCTCTCTCCATCCGACTTCAACCCTCGTCCTACCCCCTCCCAACCCGCCGCCTCTTGACCACCCCACCCCCCACCTCCACCACCATCCCCATCCTCCCCTTGTTCCTCCTCCCCCTCATCCCTCCCACTCTCCCCACCACCCACACCACCACCACCACCACCACCACCAGAGCCAGCGCCACCCCCACCAAGCACACTAACTAGGCGTGTACTGGTCCCCGTCCCCGTCGCCGCCCCCCCCACTCGCACCGGGAGGAACATTGCGCCGGACCTCAGCCGAGCGCAGCTCACTAAGCAGCTTCTCGACCTCGACAAACATGGCGCGCGCATCATTGACCACGCCAAACTCATCCACCTTGTACCCCAGCACGCCACTATCCTGCGCGACCCCACCACCACCACCACCAGAACCACCGCCCCCACCGGCGTCCGCGTCCGCGACCTCCTCGTCCTCGTCGACCTCCGGTCTGAGGAAGGCAGGGCCCGGCCCGTGGTGGGGGTCCGGGTTGTACATGACGGCGTTGGAGAACATGTGGGCGAGCTCGCGGTCGAGCTGGGAGGAGTTGATGATGGATTTGGGGGGCATGAGTTCGTGGGTGCGGGGCAGCCAGACGCCCGAGGAGGATCCCTGGTCCGCGCCGTCGGGTAGGGCCGCGGCGGCTTGGGCAGCGGCGCGGTTGCCGTGGCTGATGGCGGCGCGGATGGTTTTGAGGTCCTGCGCTTGCTTGACCACCTTATGGTAGCCCGGGGCGTCCTTTTCGCGGATGGGTGCTGCGAACATGTTGGCGGACCGGTGATGTACTATCTGTTCCATCGCGGAGCCGCAGACTTTGTTGAAGGAGCGCGTCCAGAGCACGAGTTTGGGCGGGTCGGCTGGGTTGAGGCCTTCGGAGAGGGCCTCGCGTAGCTGGCTCGCGCGGGGGGCCCGGCCGGGTGTTGGGGTCAGCTCTTCCCCTCTCCGCTTGGTTCAGCTTGCGGGATGGGGACGGCCCGTTACGCTCTCATCCGCGGTGGTGTCCCCGGCTTCAGTTGACCGCCGTGGCGTGGTCACCTCGTGCTTAACTTTTGGTGGTTCCGACTCCATAGCCGCCTGCTTGACCTGGGAATCTGCCGGCATGGCTACTGTGGGTCGCGGACCGGGTTGAGGTGTGGAAATGCCTTGGGGTCGCTGCGGCGCAGGCTGCCGCCCTGGTTTGTGTTTCGGGGTTTCCGTTGGCCCTTCGCGTTTCGGCGCCTGCTTAAGCACTGGTGGCGCTGAGGGCCGCAAGACGGGGCTCGTCGGCTCATAAGCTGGACTGGGCACGTCGTCATATCCCAACCGAAACTCGATTCCCGGCTTAGGGGTCGACGGCGTCGAGTTCGAGACCCACTTAGTCCCGCTACCCTTTGCTAGTCTCGTAGGAAGAGTCATAGTAGGAGTTTGAGGAGCGGAAGGAGCCGGACTGAACTTAGCCGCCCGCGTGGGTGTCGAAGTAACGGGGAACCGAGGGTGAATGCGATCCACAGCCGCAGGTCGGGGTGGTTGATATGGGGAGCTGTAGCGCTGGCCTGCGTCTGGGGGTCCGGGGGCCGGCGACGGCCCGCCCCGCGGGGCATGTTGCTGATTGTACGACGGCGGTTGTAAAGCCGCCCGATGCTGTGGCTGCTGAGCAGCTAACCCAGGACTCGGCCTGGACGGAACAGCGACTGGCGGCGTGGGAACTGCCGGAATCGCGGCGGCCCGGCTTGGGCTGGGTGGGGGGACCTGGGAGGTAGGATGAAGTGGAGTGGCAGGGCTTGGAGTTGGAACGGGGTGACCTTGATATGGCGGGACGTAGGGAGACTGCGGTTGTGGGGCGTTGCTAGCTGCCGCCGTAGGGTGCAGTGGTTGCTGTTTGCCTGGCTCAGTTATTGAGTCTGCAGGCGCCCTGACCTGTGGCGACTGGAGTGGTGCCGCAAATTGGGCCGTAGAATGCGGGGGGATCAAAACCTGCTGAGGATGCAACGGCCTAGTGGTCTGTCCTTGGATAGCTACCGAGCTGGGATGTGCTGCTGCTGGTTGCTGAGAGCCTCTTGAGGGAGGAATAGGCTGTGACGGTGTATTTGGCATGTTGGGCTGTTGTTGGTGATCCTGCTGTTGTTGCTGTTGAGGGTTCGTCGCATGTCGCCAAGGGGTATTTGGTTGGTAGGGCGGCTCCCATTTCAGCTGCCCCTGTGCGGGTAGCACATTGCCCGGAAGTGACGGGGATTGTCTCGCTCCTGGAGCACTTTCCGGTCGTTGCAGCCCATCGCCTGCGGGGGGTGGCACAGGCGACTGCGGAGGTTGGAAAGAGGTAACACCTTGCGGCGCTTGGAGAACCTGAGGCGCCGTGTTCTGAGACTTCGGGACTGCGGTTGACTTTGTCACCGGAACTCTGGATACCTCTTGCGGACCAAGCTGAGGAGAGCGCGCAAGTTCAGGGTGGGTGGGAGCAGACGGTCGAGGAGCGGAGGATACCTTCTCTGGGGCTGCCGGTTGTAAAGGCGAGAGCCCGTTTCTAACCTCTTTCTGCGTTGTCGGTTGGGGCAGCAACGGTTGTAAATTCCGTAGGGCTTGCTGGGACGTCGAAGAAACTGGAACCTGGGGGGGCCGCGGCAGGGCCCCTGGGGATGGCCCAACCCTACTTGACGGCCCTGGCTCGTGTTTCCCTACGACTAGAGCACCCTGTGGGGTTGGAGGTTTCGGTCCGGTGTCGGGTTCTGTCGTCCCCAATTTTTCCAGCTCTTTTATCTCCCCGTCCAGTTCATCATATTGCTCTTCGAACTTCCGTATTTCGTCAGCCGTGTGGTTGAGATAGGCATCGTAGATCTTGTTGTAGGCACTCTCAAGCTTGCCAATATGTTGACGGGCATCCTTAAGCGTCAACGGCGGCGGTGACTGCAGCTTGCGCTTCTTCGACGCTGGCGACAGGGCACCATCGGGGCCGAGTGTGTTTTCGCTCTCGACCCTCACCTCCTCGCGCAACAGCCTCAGGAAGAGGTCTCGCAGGCTCTCGGGATTCAGCCGCTGAGCATCGAAAGTGTCGTCGTTTTTGATGAGGTTGTTGTTCTGGAGGATCCCGGCGATGGTCACAAAGCTGCCCTCCCCAATACCATGGTTGGCGATGCCGCGAAACAACAAGAGTTTCTCGAGCGGCGTGTGTGGTGTCGTCGAGGTATTCATGCCCCAAATTCCACCCCGCGGGGAACCGAGGGGGTGGTTCTCGACAAGGTGAATTGGCGCCACGATCTGCGAGTTCCCACATTGTCAGCGACCTTGCCGTGAGTCGTCGGGGGTGTGCGTCGGCCGCGGTGTGCCAAACACATACCGGCAGCCCGAGCCCCGCGCTCCTATCAATCTGGGGGATGGGAAAGCTATCGCGTCGATCGGTGGCACTCGGTCGGGAGTTCTCGTTGGGGTTCGACCGATTGCAAGTACTCGTGGCGATTTCGGTGGTATCTTTTTGCGATCTCGGTGTTGGTTCGTCACGTGATTAGATGAATGTTTGTTGTCGATTTTCGTTGGTGATGGCGCAATGAGATGTTTCGAACGTGGTTGCTGGGGTTGAAAGATTGGTCTGTTGGAAAGTTGAATTGAGGAAGTTTCTCCAAGCACGTGCGTCCGTGAGCCATGTAGGCGCCGGGATGTACATACAAATCGGACAAATACGTAATTACAGTACCCTGTGCCAGCCACTCAGTTGCTTGCTGTTTGCTCTGCCACAGTTCCATTAAAATAGGTCCCGTACATATACCTGCGAGGCATCGCTTGTCCGCATCAGTTGGGATTTCTACTCCATAAATCCATGACTTCGTTTTGGAGTTTCACCGGTACCTTGGTCGTGAAGGCGTCTCGGACTTTTTGAGACAGGGTTAGGGTTTAACTGTACTTTCTGACCCTGGGCACCAACTCCCAAACATCTTTTAATTCTTTATCGCCCAATAGTGGAGGTATCGCGTCTGTAGATACGCGTCACCCCTTTCTCCCCAGCAGCAAACTTGAACAACGAAACTTGCTGCGATTACCCGACGACCCAACATGGGACACCACAATATTCAATTTGGAGGCGACGCGTCTTCAAATAACGGCGCTTGGAGTCCACCGAACAGTAGGGCCAAGTGAGTAATTCCATAATCACATGGAATACATGCAATTAATTTGAGGACTACCCCTGACAATGAGGTGTATTTAAGCTTTTGCGAAGAAGACTATGTCATCTCCTACTACCTCGCTGAATTTATCAATGCATTGACCAATGTCGCCTATGGTATGTTTTAAAGTTGTCCCCTATTCTTACCCTCAAATGGCTGCCCGTGAATGCACTCATTCACACTTCCAGTTTATTTCGCCCTCCGGGCCATGTACCCACAAGGAAGCGGCCGCGGCCTCTTCCGCGCCAAATACGACTTCATGTCCATCACCCTCCTCATCCTCGGCATCGGCTCCTTCCTCTTCCACGCCACGCTGCGCCAAACCCTCGAGTTCGTCGACGAGTTCTCCATGCTCGGCCTGACTTGGTCCATGCTGCAAGCATCCCTTACGGCGCGCCAGTCCCCCAGGAAAGCCCGTCTTATTACCATCGGCTTGGCCGTTGTCTATCTTTCCTTTTCCGCCTTCTACCTCCAGTCGGCCAAGATCATTTATCAGGTATTTGCCTTTGTCAGCGCGCTTTTTGGCGTCTTGTTCAGGAGCCAGTACATGTTCCATCTGCTTCAGCCGGCGTTTCCGGATGCGAAGAGGCGGGACTGGAACTGGAGGACTTGGAAGGCTCTTGGGATATGCGTCTTTGGGTATCTGCTCTGGAGTATCGACCTCGAGTATTGTGCCGAGCTGAGGGAGATCAGGGAGCGGGTCGGGCTACCGTGGGCGTGGCTTTTTTGAGTTCCACGGTTGGTGGCACATCTTGACTGCTATTGGCGCTAGTGAATCTATGCAGGTGGCGAGAGAAGTGAACGAAGAGTTAGAAAGAGAGAGGGAGAGGGACAGGAAGCAGGAATGAGATGTGGCTGGTTGCCGTAGGCAAATCAGCAACCATACCAGCAGTGTACGACGATATCCGGGAATATAGATTTACTTTATATATCATTATAAATCTAGAAATGGTGGATCTAGCTCTTTAACGTGGCGCCCCAACCGCCACTCGCTCAGTTTCGTTGTTGTCACCGGCCCAGAGAGAATGCCAGGATCCGGCAGGATTTGCGCCAAATGCATCTCGCTCGAACCCAGATTGAGGGCCAATATTTCAAATACAACTCTGGCAAAAGCTGAGTCAACAAACCCAGAGGTATCTCAGGAAGGATGTTTGACTGAAACATCATGTATTATACCTATAGATAGGTAGATCGTAGACATGCCTGTTATGCGCAGTCACTGGCGGAGACAGCTTTCGAACCTAGGTACCCCAAGATCCTGTATCCGCCCATTCGCTCGCCACGCTTACTTCATGGCCATTCCAGGAAGCTTATCAAACCCTATCATATCCAGCGTTAGTTCTGTTCCAAAATATGCAGGCAATAGATAATCCCGGGGGCATGACTTACATCCGTCCACCTCCTCCTTCACCTTCTTGGTGATCTGACATTTGTTTGCATTATCAATGCTCTGCGTCTTCTGATTCCCACAATCGGCCGCAAAACACCCATTCGCCACATCCATCGCCCTCTGCAGCGCATCCCCCTTCCACCCAAACACGTAATCCCCATGCTGCCCATACCCGGTCGTGTCCCCCGTGCTCAGCACAAACGGCTGGCCCGTCGCCGGCCACAACGACTTATCATTGAACCCCGTCGTATCCCACACAATCTCTAGCATCAGCTGCGGGATCTTGACGGGGTGCGACGCGGGGCAGTTGCCTGTCGAGAGGAACGTCGAGGGCCCCCCCGTCGGGTAGGCGACGTGGTCCTTGTGGTTGGGTGTGTCTAGGTTCTTGCCGTCCCAGCAGGTTGGGTAGAGCACGTTGGATCGGATGCCTCCCGGGCAGGGCTGGGAGGGGAAGCCTTCGCTGTCGCGCCGGCTGTCGGTGCAGGGGGCGGCGTCGTCCCCGCCGAAGTTGGGGCCGCTGAAGCAGCGGAAGCAGGATTGCGTCTTGTAGAGCGGCGTGCGGCGGGCTACGTCGCCGACGAACATCCGGAAGCCCTGTGGGAAGGTTTTCTTTTGGTTAGCTTTGTGCGTTATGGTTAGGGCATGTTATTATTTTTGAGTCATCACGGACCGGCTTGAAGGCGGTGACTTTGCCCTTTCCGGGAGAGATGTAGTAGACGGTCACGCCACCGTTGGTCTGGGTGGTGAACCGGTCGTTGAACAGGAAGCGGTTGGGGATTTGCGGTACGCGCTTGTAGCTCCCGTTCTTGGCTTGGAAATATAGGTTTGCGGTCCAGTAGTTGCTGAAATCGTCGGCGGGGCCACACGTCGTGCAGGTGGCCACCTGGGAGATGTCTGTGTTGGGCATGGACACGTTGAAGGCGTTGCCGCCGACGACCTGGTGCATGTGGGCGCTCGGCATCTTGTCTGGCTCCACGAGGGGGTCGAGACGCTCTATGGTGATCTGGGAGCAGCCAAATCGGAGATGGTTTAGCCCTTGGAGGAACTGGGCGTTGGCGAGCGCCGCCAAGGCGAGACCGGGCCACAACATGGTGCTGGTTAGGTGGCGGTGGTGATAAACAAGACCAACAGAGACTGGGACCACTTCAGAGTTTGGTAAATGCTAGTCATGCGGTGATGAAACAGGAAAAAGAGAAATGTATAGCAGGGAAGCCCATCAGTAAGTACTTTCTTGCCCTCCCTCCGGGCCTTATTGCGTGCGCCCAACGTCACGGGAGTTGTTCCTCAACTGCCAGACCACACCCCCCTCTACCTAGTGCACCTCACGCCTAGTTCAGGTATGGGCGACCTCCCAGAAAGAAACCAAGACTTCGGCACACGCCCGATTGGGTGGGTATTCGCCGGCAGATGTCAAGGAAGCGGTATTCAATTTCATGGTTCCTCCAATCGGCAAGACTCCTGCTTCTAAATGGGGGATGTACAATTCATTCCCACATGTAAACCATAGTTATTCCGGTATCCGATCTCGATATCCCTTTCTCGTTGAGTGTTAATTGCCGAAGAGGTTGGTTTATTTTAGTTTACTCAGCTAGGTAGGAATATGGAGGTCGGGCAATATGTGATTTGGGGCGGCGACAACCCGAAGTGAGTGAAGCGGTTGAGGAATGCCTGGAGGAACGTGCGAGGAACGAGTACTTCCGAAAGGTTCCTTTGCCTGGAGGAACGTGCGAGGAACGAGTACTTCCGAAAGGTTCCTTTTCCGAGAAAAACCATGCTCCAAGCACGGACCAATTCCGCCCCATAAAAACCCCATAAAACGCCCCATCAAAAAAAGCCGTGCCATTTCTCCCTGTAAACTGTGAAGATTTACTGTCATTATCCTAACGATTGTGGAAGCAGCCATGTTGCTTTGCCCGGAGGAACTTGCCTCTGACGATGAGCGTCTCGAAGTTGGGCTTGGCAGTGGTGGTGCACGGACGGTCTGTTGGGGTTTGTCGGCTGTGGGGCTGGCCCCGCTTTATAAGGGCCAATGAGATGGCGTACCCCCGGCCAGGTTCGCCGACGACCACGAAAAGATGCAGATTGCAGGGCAACACGGCAACAAGTTGAGAAGGAAAATAAAAATATTAATTGAAGCAGCTTATTCCGCTGGAAAAGAGCTCCAAAACAGAGCAACGTTGGAGAGCTGTGCTACGATCTGAGCTCGGAAACCCCAGGGTCTCGCCAGAGCGCCGCGTCCTCTACGTCATCGGTTTCAGTACCCTGGCCAGATTCAGGCATGGCAGCCCATTCTTGAAACCACGACTCGTGCCTGTGGTCTTGCTCGAACCGCCGTCTGGTCTCCTCACCCCGTCGTTCCAGCTTGAGGATGGCCTCCCTCATGTCTTTGTCGAGCACATTCTTGGGCTCAATAAAGTCGCCACGCCCCGGTTTCCGAAACAGATGCAGCCCGTCCCAGCTCTGCGCCCTCGACAGCTGCACGTACAAGCTCATGAAGCTGGGTCGAGTCACCGTACCGCTGGAGTGGACGCCTTTGAGGTTGACGAGGACGTTGGAGAACTGCTTGCCCTGGCTCTTCTGATCTGTCATGGCGAAGGCCGGGGTGCAAAGAGGCCCCGTTCGGTGGGTGACCCACCTGAAACCTGGCTTGCCCCTCCATCTGCCTTCCTTGCCCCGCATTTGGCTCGGGATGGCGACCGTCTTGCTCTTGATTAAAATGGTGCCATTGGGGAGCCCGGGGATGGCGAGGCCCGCGCTGTCGTCTGACTCGAGGAGGACGGCCACCGGCGGTCCAAGATGAAGAGTCACATCGCTGGCGAGGGCGATGGTGCCGGCGGCGAGGTCGGGAAAGATGTCGACGGCCTTGAAAGGCGCCCCGTTGACGACCTTTAGCCCGACAAACTGGTTCCGAGTCACCACTACCGGCATCCCTTGGGCGTAGAAGAACAGGCCGGGGGTCGGCAGCTGCGAGTCGTCTCCGTAGCGGAGCACGTGGCATAGGTCCCCCGCACTCAATCGCTTCCCCGACTCAGTATCGTGCTTGGCCGCAAAGACTGAGATGTGCTTACCGTGGGCACGAGCCCACTGGACGACGGCCGCCATGTTCAGGTCCCACCGGTCTTGGTTCAGAGGCGTGATGGCTCTCATGCCGTCTACGAAGGAGGACTCGCACGACGGTGTATAGACGCGTTGGCTCAGCCGCTGGAAGTCCAGCTCGGTCTGCTCCCCACTGCGCAGGCGCCGGAGGAAGCCCCGCAGCCTTGCACAGCCGGCCGCGCGGACCTGTTCGCGGAGGATGACGACGTTCGCGAACTGGAGGACCAGCTTATGCGCTGCTAAGTGCTTTGCCGAGCTGTCCGGTCTCTGTCCACCGGGGTCCCTAGGCGTTGGCAAGAGGAGGCTGGTCTGCAGGACGGGGTCGAACTGGAAGTAAGTCACCAAAGAACATGACCATTGGGATCCCGCCGAACGGTCGATGGTGGTCGTCTCTGTACTGCTTCAGGCGGCTGTCCACCGCCGCGAGCGTGAGACCGCCCACCTGGCTGATCTCGTCGATAACCAGCATGATCATGTTTTTCCACCGCAGCTTCTCTTCTTCTGAGACGTTCTTTGCTGTCGCTGCCCTGCCCTCAAACGCAATGTTCGCCGCCGAGTGCAGCGTCACTCCGCCGATAAGCGCGGCCGCGTTACCGCTGGCGCCCGTCAGGAGCAGCGTGTGGAGACCGTCCTTCAGCCGGAACATGTCCTTGATGGCGTGTATGACGCGAGACTTGCCGGTGCCGCCCTCGCCGCCGATGTATTGGAAATGCTGCCGACCCCCTTCTTCCTGCAGCCGTGTGCCGCGCTCGTCAAGAAACGCCGCCGGTAGCAAGACTGCCATCGACTGGAGCTTATTCAGGGTCCAGTGCCTTGTGAGACCCAAGGTCCACATCGACGTATGTTGCATAACGTCCGAGCTCGAGCCGCATCTGTCCGCCCGGACCGACCCCTTCTGGAGATCTTTCGCATCCGTGAACGGGCAACCGTGGGCTCCCGTGTGGCTCGCCGACATGCGCAGAAGACGGATTCGTTTGCCTGCCCTGGATCTTCGCCGTCACGTTGCTGTCCTCTTTCTTCTGGACCTTCAATACCGCGTCGATCTCCTCGCGGCTGGGCAGTCCCATGCCGCGGAACGGCGAGTCTTGGAGGTCCTGTAGCATGGTATAGAAATAGCGACCACGCTGGGCAGCATTGTTGTCGTCCTGGCTTGGGTCAACTGCCCTCGCCTCTTGGTCCAAGCGCCTCAGCGCCGAAGTCGCTGTCATATCTTTGATCTCGCTGCCTCGAACCGCTGAAAGGACATTCAAGAAGGCTTCGTAGTGGGCCTGTGGATCGATGTCCCCACCATCCAGTCCGACGCCGTCATCGTCCCCCTCCCGGTCCCTCAAAGCCAAACCCGTCGACGACGTCTTCGTTTTCCTGTTCTAGCCCTTGCATCTTTCGGTCAGCACGGGCATCGTCCGCCGAGACGCGTAGCAGAGCGATATTCTGGACGTGTGAGCGGATTCGGGCGCCCAGCTGCCCTCGAGCGATCGCCAAAGTCCTGGTATATCGTCCGCTGGCTCAGCCTGAAACCTTTCCCATGGAACGAAGAGGGCGAGGTGCAGGACTGCGTTTCTGTATGTGACTTGTAAGCAGTTTTCTTTTACGCCAAGAGGACCCTGATACCTACCTCTACAAATTTGTCGTCCTGCTCAAACTTACCTTCCAAGGCGTAGGCGTTAATAGATAGGAGACAGACGAAACCCACTCCGTACAGGTGGCGCTGACACTGCCCAGTGATGGCGGCTTGACTCCGTACGCCCCATTATTTTGCGCTGGAGCAGGACCTGGCTGCTAACACTTCCAAGTGTCATCCCCCGCCAGCTCGGTGGTCCCGACCAGACAGCTCCTTGGCCAAGCACTTCAGCACATGTGTCCTTTGCCAGCCCCGTCGAGCTAGATACCTTTCATATCAAGCAAGGAGTCTGGCCGGAGCCGCTGGTCAAGACTTCGGTGTTCGCCAAACTCGGGTCTTACTTGCAGCCAGAGAACGACCGCCCTCCTCGCAAAGGCATACACATATGCCACGTGCCTCGTTCTCTTCCCCGTCGACCAGCAACCCTGGAAGTCTCTGGCCGGGTGGATGCGGACCGCCGCAAACCCCTTTCCCAAGGGATCGTGGATGGCGTGCAGTGGTCGACTCCTGGGGGTCCTAGACCGCGACCTGATCCAAGGCCCTCGGAAAGTCGATCCCACTTTTCGAATTCTGGTGATTCTCGCCGACAATTGGGAACTCATTCGGCAGAATTCCCCGTCAACCAACAATACACCGACGCCGAAATCATCGGACCCTGTCGGCAACTTGCCAACGACACCATGATCGGCTGGCCCCGGAGTAGTCGCAAGCAGAAATCCGTTCTCTTCACTAGGCCGTGCTGAAAATCCCACTTCCTCGCCTCAGAATCCATCTTCCTCGCCGGTTGCCCCAGAAACCGCAGAACGCGAAGCGACCAAACCACCATCCAGCCCTGGAGCACAGCTAGACTCGATCACGGCCGATCCCGATCAAATGCCCACGGGTTCATCTTCAAGTATATATCACCGCCTTCCACAGCCACGGCTCACCTAACTATTGATCTACATGGCGACGACTCGAACGATGCTTCGGACACAGAAGAATTATTGGACGCTCAACCCGTTTCGAGCAGCAGGACTCCGACAAAGAAAAGAAAGGAACCAAGCTCTCCGGAACCGGCCAGAAGCAAGAGATCCACAGCGGGAAGAAGGCGCGGCTGTATGACTAGCTTTTGAGGTTGACCAAAGAACTGCTTTTGCTTGCTTTCCCAACATTCGTCAACCGTCCTAAAACTGATCGACCAACCATATTCTGATGCCGCTATGGGTTACCTGCGCCGGCCCGTTCCTCCAGGCTTCCTTTGGCGGGCCCGCGCGCAGCGGGCACGGTCACTCCTGTAATAATGATGCTGTAACGGGGAGAAATACGGGTGGTTAAATTGCTCTGTTTCAAACGAAGGACTGGTGACACGATGAAGGAACTCAAACTCATGGTCCGCCACCTTCCCAAGCTGTCAAATATTGCGTGGTGCCCATGGTCTTGGCTGGGCAACCTGCAGCCTCTTGAAACATGAAAGTGCGCGTCAAGACATCCGCTTGGGGCGTTCGGATTAATACAGGGGTTAAACTAGGTACCTGCCTCGAGATGATTGATAACCGATAACAACAACAATCAACACAGCGTCAACACTGTAACACGGCAATGGGATCATGGCATCTAGCTCGAGCTCGTCATTGATTGGAGGAAAGACGATCGACCAGTGGCTGACCGAGATCAAAGGCCGCAAGCGTGAGCCTGAGAACGCGCAGGCGCAACGGCCACAGAGCTTCAGGGATGCCGTGCTTCAGGCGCGTGTCCACCGCGCTCGCGACTAATTCATCGCGACAATCCGCGATGAAGACGTCCGCCGCCTTGCATCACTAAACCATCACGGGAATGACTGCGTGTTATTCCGTCCGCCCGTCCGCGGCAGCTACAATATTTGTTACTTTGTGGGATTTCAAAACGGGGATCGATGGGTTGTGCGCATAATACCTCTGGCGCCCACACTTGCCGCGCCACCCGCCGACAAAGCTTGAGAGCGAGGTTGCCGTAATGAAGTAAGAATGACCCTTCTACTAAATCTGCCAATGTTGCAACAGTGAGGGTGACTAAGCAACCCGCGCATCAGGTTGATCGCAGCGACTACGTCTATCCCGGTTCCTGAGGTCCACGCCTACGCCCTGGGCGACGGCCCTGAACCATTTCCGTCTTTCCTCACCCTTGAATATGTGGAGGGCCGCCAGATAAATTATGCCGATCTCAAATCTCTGCCTGATGAACAACGGACTCGTCTTTATGCGTCTCTTGCCGACATCTACATACAGCTTCGGCGTCTCGTATTTCCCTCCGTCTGCCGCTTAAGCCAGGGCCCAGCCGGCCCCCAAATAGCGAAGAGGAACACTTCCATCGACCTCAATATGCAGGAACTAGAAGGTCTGGAGCCCTCTGCCATTTAGGACCTGTACTACAGAAGCGGCACCCTATCTTCGGCCAGCCGTTATGTGGCCATGCAGTTAGACCTTGCCGACAATGCATTTGCCCGCGGCCGCGGCACCGTTTCAGACGCTGAGCAGGGCCGCGACCGCCTTTACCACCTTCACATGTTCCGCCAGTTTACCCAAGGCTAGCTCAACGACAAGTTAGATCACAGGCCGTTCGTGTTGGCCCACGGAGACCTAGAAGTCTTCAACCTCATCCTCGATCACGACATGAATATCGTCTCCGTTCTGGATTGGGAATGGAGCCGAGTGGTACCTGTACAGCTCTTCAGACCTCCTTTATGGCTGGACAGTACCACTATCGAAAATCTGTTCCACGGCGCCAGGTATAGGCTCTACCTCGACCGTTTTGACAGCTTTCTCGCTGTTTTGCGTGCGCGGGAGCGGGAAAGGTACGGCAACGAACTTCTCGCAAACGAGTGGAACAAGCAAAAACAGAAAAGCGGCTTTATGGTCGCGTACGCTTTGGAAAATTGGACAGCCATGGACTGGTTCGCGAACCGATACATCAACTTACGGATCTCTGGGGGAAAGACGACCTACCGGAGCGCGCCATGGCTTACGTCAATGGTGACCCCGCGCGTCAAGCTCTAGTCGAGCAGAAGGTCCGCGACTGGGATTCTTACACGGCTGAGTTGAAGGAGCTCAAGAACAACAACACCTTGGGCAGCCCACGGGGCCAAGAAAGGACAACAACAGTCACCGAAGAGCAGCAGTCCACGTCTGGTGTTGGCCAGGTAGGAGATGCATATTGAATTCATCAAGTCGGTGATGTATCCACACCCATCCCAGCTCGTCCCCCTTACCGCTTGCTCCGCATCTCTTCCAGCATCTACGCTGCCCTTCACCATGTAACATCTGAGATAGGGGCAACCCAGGTGTACCCCGGGTCCGTGGTCATACACTGCGACACCCCGTCCACGGTCTCACACTCCAGCGTGGTGTTGACCGCCGTGTTGGTCACGCCGCTAAATTTGACCCTGTAACCGCGTTGGTTAGTACCATTTTCCTCGCCACAAAACCAGATACCTAGAAAAAAAAAAAAAAAACTCACGGATGCACCCGATCCAAATCCCTACACTCCCAATCCGCATCCAGCAGCAACATCCCCCCCTTCCCCTCCTCCCCCTCCTCATACCTAAACCGACACTGATAAGGCCACAACGGCAACCCATTCCCACCATCCGCCCCGACCTCGCACTCATACCACCCCTCCCCCCCCTCCCCCGCCACCGCCTCCCCCTGATACACCGGGATCGGATACTGAAACCCGCGATCGCCCGCCATGAGGATAATCTCAAAGGACACGGCGCCGCCGTCGACGCGGAACGCGCTGAACTGCCAGCGCGGCGCGAAGATGCTGGTCAGCGTGCACCCGTCACCGCGCGGCGGGGTGGATGCCCAGCTGGGCGCGGGGTCTTCGAGCGCGTAGGGGCGCAGCGTGGTCGTCAGCCCGGATTGGCCCGTGAGGGTGACGGAGGAGGCCGTGCTGCAGTAGGTGTTGGTTTGGTTGCGTGTGCCGGGGGTGGTCGTGCAGGTTAGGGGGAGGGTGGAGGAGCCGGTGGCGGTGATTTGGAGGCTGGGTGGGTGTTAGTTTGGGCTGGGTGAGGTTGGGGGGTTGGTGTTGGGGTGGGGGTGGTGCTTACGGCTTTGCGGCGTCGACGTCGTCGCAGAACCAGGTCTGGTTGAGCGTGAAGGTGGATGTCTCCGGGTCGAAAGAGGCTTGCGTGACGATGGGGTACTGTCCCACGGACGAGGACTGGAACTCGTAGCCGGCGCACATGAGGTGGGCGAGGTCGGGCTGGTCGCCGAAGGAGCCGCCCGGCATGCAGCTCGCTTGGTAGCCGTTGGCCGGGTTCGTGACGAGCACGTTGAAGTTTTTGAACGCGACTGTGCCCTCGCCCGAGGCGGGCTCGTCGGTGTAGTGAATGGATGACAGAGTCCATGTAGGTGACTCGGACCGCGAGCTGCATCCGGCTGAGTCGTGCCCCTTGGGCCCGTCGGGGTAGACCGGTGTGATAGAAACGGGCGAGGTGAGGGATCCCTTTATGAGGAGGGGTGAGGTGTAGTCCGCTGCGGCCGAATTGTTTCCAGCTGCTGTGAACTTTAAACTGTTAATTGTCAGCGTCGTGTACTAACCCAACCGTCTACATACGGTACGCCTGTCGTCCGCTCACCTCTTCTCTCGGTCACTGCAGGTCCACGATTGTTTGAGGTGGAACGTCGTAGGGTCCCCGCTGATCTCAACTGAAGCTTCGAGCGTGTCGTTTGACGACGGCGTCCCCTGGACGGAGCAGGCATTTAAACCGGTCTTTGTCGTCTCGCAAGCCAGATCTGCCGTGTAGTTGGTGGCCCGGTTCCATACATTGAACGAGATGACACCTTCAGCGTGCTTCACATCTTGAACAAACCAGCTCGGAATTGCGAACGACTTTGCGGTGCATGCAGAGCCATCCGAGGAAGCCCGCGCCGAGACAAGGACAGCCACCGAAGTGGCAGCGAGAAGGAGACGCATGGCCATGGTGTTGGAGCAGTAGGTAAGATCTCCGCACCACGTGTATCTACTTACCCCAAAAAACGGGAACGGGTGGGAGGCTCTTAAGTAGCAAGTGTACGGAATGCTTCTAGAATCCCAGCTCCCGCGGGATCGAATCCTGTACCACCCTGGGTGAGGAGTAGCCGTGAGGAGAAAAGCCTTTACCCCTGAATGCCCGCCCGTCTCAATTAACCAGCAGCGGTTGAACAACGTGGTTTCCTATATACCCAGATGAAAAGGAACATTTGGAGAGATTGATCTGCGCATAACTTAAGAATCAAGTAACCATAAGCCAACTGCCGGCAGGGCCGCGTGGGAGCATCTTACATTGCGCGGCTACCGTTCGCGCCCCGGCCAATAGGAGAAACACGGATCGCCGGCGGGAGGCTTGATTTACTTGCCGAAATAATGTAGCCGCGAGACAACGGGACAAAGTCTCCCAAGGTCGGGCTCCTGTGCGGTAATTAGGTACCCAGCATTTCAGTGAGTTCTACTCCGGATACCGGGTACCTAGAGATAGGTAGCTAGGTAGCCTACAACTCTACATTGGTAACACAGAACACTTAACGTCTACTCAAAATAGTACTCCAAGCTCAAAGGTTATGACAACATTGTATTTCACGGGGAGTTGTAATCCAGCTTAAAGAATTAAAGCGCCTCGCTACCGGTTGGCTTACGATATAAAAATATACAAGAAAGCTCACAATTCTCTAAATCTGAACACCCGGTTCTCTGGACAGTAACCGAGGACCTTGGGAACGTCTTGTTTATTGGTATGCAAAAGCGTGCGTGGTTCCGGAGGTCTGATGTGCTACTAAATTCAAGGTTCATGCGGCTCGGTGCCCTTTTGTGGCTCAAGCAACTTGTAGACATGGTTACTACTTGTGTATCACTGGCCTCGAAACCAAGACGGTCGACCGTTATTCACGACACACAGACTACGTTAGGAGGAACGAAGGTATATGAGCATGTGACAGGTTCCTCGAATGTATGTACACAATCTGTTTCCCCCGCGAATTGAAGTTGACGGCCCGACGGCCTGCAGGTCCAAGGTTCCAAGGGGGCAGTCGAACAGCCCACGACTACCGGATGATGACCCGCACCGCCTCTCTCTGACTAAGCTACAGCCCCTTAGGACGCAGCCCTGACCTCGATGTTGGCTGATCCGGAGCTCTGGTAACCCTCGCTGGCCATGATCATGTAGTTCCACTGGCCGAGGTTGAGGTTGCCCTGGCGCTTCCACTCGTCGAAGTGCTTGCCGGTGTCGATGGTGCCGCCGACGCGCTTCTGGCGACGGACGGACCAGTACTGGTCGAAGGTCGAGGTGCCCTGGATGGACGGCTGGTTGACGCGGCGAGTCTTGTAGATGTCGTAGGTGCCGCCGTCATCCTCGATTGTGCCGAGACGGGAAGTGCCAGAAGACGGGTTGTAGGTGCCGTAGGCCTCGACGATGTAGTACTCGACGAGGGGGTTGGTGGTCCAGCCGTAGAGAGCCAAGTCTGTGCCGCCACGTTAGTTTTGTCTTTGCCCCCGGCTTGGAGCGGGCATCTCGGCTAGAAAGGAGCTGGACTTACAGCTGTTCACGTTGTAGTTGTTCCAGGTGCCGTTGTAGGCAACCTTGCGCGGCGGGCCCGGGTTCCAGCCCTTGCCGCCAACCCAGTTGTTGACGTTGTTCCACGAGACGCTATACGAGCCACGGGGTCCGTTGTTGTAGTCGACCGATCCGCGGCCGTCGGTCCAGAAGGAGTAGAAGTAGCCGTCGTGGGTTCCGGTGCCGGGCTGGATGCCACGCTTGAGAGCCTCAAGCGGGCTGGCCGTGGCGACCGAGGCGGCAAGAGCCGTGAGGAGAAGAGTGAACGAGACCATGACGAAGCGTCCGAGCAAGATATGCTACAAGTTGATGCTGCTGTCTTGTGGGAGTGCTGCTGGGGATCGGCAGTCGATCATGCCCGTCCTCCACTGCCCCTTTATACTATTTCCTCAGTCTCAGTCCCCAACACCGTCCACAATTAGGTTGCCTACCCCATTGGGGACCAAGGTGCTGTCTGATAGGATCGGTTCGTCTCCGCCCTGCACCCCGCATCCCCATTGCCGTGGCTGCATTTGGAAAACACCCGTTTATGGTACCAAGGATCGTCGAGATTAACATCGCTTTTACCCCAGATTTTTCCATAAAGCGCCAAGATCTGCACCTTTTTCTCCGAGATCAGCCGGCAGCGACCGCAACTCGAGCCGCGTCTCGCGATATGAGAATATTCTATATCATTGGAGCGGGAAGCATAGAAACCCGGTCAAGACGATGACTGGATAGAACGCATAGATCACGAGCTTCAGATGCTGAAATGCCTTCCCTGTTCCAGCTTCAAGAAACCAAATTAAGCACCCTTCCGCCATCTGTTGGAGAGGTTGCACTATCTATCAGACCATCAGTGGCAACCATCTCCGCGCCGCCGCAATATGGCCTCCACTCGCGTGCGTGAAAGGCAAGGATATGAGCGGTTTATCTCAGGCGTGCGGAGGAGAAGGGATAAAAAAGGAACGGGGTACAGCGCTACGTGCGGGCGTTTGCCCGGGCGGCGGGTTATTAACTAGAGATCGGCGGTTTGTGCTACCCTGTTCGGCGCTGGAGCGCTGGAAGCCGGGTTCCTCCATTCCAGGAACCGGGACTTGCCCGTCCCGAGTCCCCATATGCCAACACACACGATCTACTCAACCGGCGGAGAAGGCATGCTGGCTGCCGACCGACCGGTATTGCCGTCGATGTGGCAGACGACCCGGAACGAGGGTAAAAGAAACAGGACGGACCAAGCGTATTGTGTTGGGGGAGAAAATGAGGGTAAGTTGTCTAAACACAACAAGACTCTGAATTGCTACCCAGAAGATCGATGGGTGACCAGTATCAATGACAAGGCAATGCAGCTTGCCGGCTTACCCTGTTTCAGGGATCCAGGACTGTCTCTCCAAACCTTGTTTTCCTTCCCCTCGACGAATCGAAGGGGATATCTCAAGAATGGTCTACTGACAGAAGTGAGGGAAAGCATGGGTGCAAACTTGTGGGGACACGCCGGGCGAGACGAAACCAAGACACCGGAAGCAGTCCACCTTCCCCCTGGTGGTATGCAGAGAAGATTCGAATCAACTTTTCCTGCTGACGAAAGACCTGTTTACCCGGCCACGTAACGCCATTCGGATGATATCTCACTCACTACACTCAGGGGTCAACGGGATTTCTGATAGGTTCTCTACGCCACCCGCATTTGACGTAGTCAAGGTACAAGTTACCGCACATCCCGGGCTATAGGTGTGTGTAGAGCGGCAGAGGAAGTGAGCCGCAGCTTTCCGGCGCCATCAGCCAGTCATCCGTCTAGCCGGCTCCGTATATTCCGTTGTGGCAACCTCAATCACATTCTAGGTTTGTACTTCTCGCACAAATACAAACTTCGCTTGGATCGAGCCAGGTAACAATGCGTCCGGTTGTATGCCGTGCACTGCTCCTCAAATCACCCCATAGCCATTCCACAAGCACCCAATCCACTTCGAGCAGCTACGCGCCCGCCAAGAACCATGACTCGGATACCACCGCTGCGTCCTTTGCCGTACGTGCTCACAGCCCACTTCACTTGTGCCCTCCCATACCCCCCACGGGTTTGTCACCTGTGCCGTAGTAGACTGTCCTCTCCTTCCCCCTGGGTGGCCGTAAACACTTCATCCGACAACATCGAAAGTCCCCGTCCGGGCCGTCGCTGTTCCAAACCGCCCTCTCCAGGAGGGAATCACCTCCATAAGCCCCTTCTTTCCCACCTTACTGTCCACCCGCCACTGAGGTAATACCTCCCCTACCCCGGCCACCTTCAGTGAATTGCAACTTTCCGGGGTTGATGACCAGAGACTACCGCGGTTCGGCCACCCATGTAGCCATCGAAGAAACCGTTTCCAACCACCATGTACTGAGGGAGTGGATCAGTTTCTCGGTCCCCTATCTCGAACGCTGCGCCTGGGGATCCCGGTTTGCCAAGGGGACGGAGTATGAAGGGGGCCGGACAGCCCAAAATGACGTGGATCTCATCCCCCTTTTCTGTGTCTCTCGGCGACAAGCCGATTTTCCCGTTTGCTTTAAACAGCCGACGCTCCCACAAGCAAGCCAGAAGGTGGTAGACCAGTTTCGGATTCAGGGACACGACCGCGTTATGCAACACAGAATGGTGAGGGTCAGGCTTGGTGCGTGGAGTCTGAGCTCCTTCAGCACTGCTGGGAAAGAAGGCCCTCAAGGTTTGATGGCCAATCGCCTCCCACAGCTTATGCAACTCTTGGTAACTGTCGGCTATGCTAGGCCTTTGGTACTGGGGGCTCTCTCCAACTTCCTCGACTGAGTCATCGCCGTCTTTCTCGACCGAGTCATTGATCATTGTTCTCCAGAAAACCATTTTCCCTTCATCGAGGTCAACGGGGCTTGCGGGCCAAGTGAGGGGGCTGATCCCCGCCATTTCCATCCACGATAACAGAACACGGGGCACTGTCGTCCACTGATTTGTGTCTACCAGTACGTCTCCGACCTCGTCGATTTTCCCGATCTGGTAGGACTCGGTCACAAGAATGCCGTTCTTGCTCATGCTCAAATTGTTGACGAACGTCTGGCGTTCTGCGCTGTTTTGCCTCGGGCTGCTTTGTCCCGTGCCGTTTTGTCCCGCGTTGAAGGACTCGTACATGCTCAGCCGGCGACGCTCGACGAGCCCCCACTTCTGGGGGAAGGTGCAAAAGCAAGCGTCGGACACCCATGAAGGAACATGAAGCCTTGTGTAAGGGTTTTGAGAGCGGAAGAGCCGCTCCCCGAGAAGCAGCGCAACTCCATCGGTTTCTTTTGTGACGCAGGCATACGTGGCTTCGCTGATGGCCGTCCGTAGGGGCAATTTGTAGCTGGGAGAAAGGGGGGTCGAGCCGGTGACAATGCCGAGGAAGCCATAAAAGAAGTCTCGTTTCCAAGAAACCTGGGATCCGCAGAATCGCCTTCGAAGCTGGGTAAACGTGATGTGCTTGTTATCCAACCGTTGTTGGCGGACAAACACCATGGATGCAATCTTCTCTTCCATTGTCACAACTGCCTCGAAGCCGAGTGCCCGCAGACCAAGCCTATGCTTCTTGCAGCAGGCCCTCGTGGAGTGGTATACCAACCCCTCCACTGCTTTCTTCAAGTCCTCGTATTGGAACATTTTGTCGTCAACCAGGAACTCGATGTGGGCCGGTAGAGCCAGCTCCTGGATCACCCAGGTCCGCTTCCACCAGTCCAGTTCGAGTAGCGCCGTCAACGCCTCGAAATGACCGGTGTATAAATCATTAACGTCCGTCCGTTCCCGGGGTTCACGTTCCGCATCAGCGACGGTGAAGCACTCGAGCTGAGACAAGTGTTTTACCCCGCCACTGGTTGGCAAACAACTCGCAAACATCCCGAGCAGCTCAATGGCAGCGGCGGCAGCACTGAGAGGGGGTGAATCAGCTGCTCCTGGGGAGGTCGACGGGGGCGGCGTTGGGAGGGAGGGAACTCCTAGCCTAAATCATTGGACAGGGTACCCGACCTGGTTAGCTTGCAGCTAGCGGTAAGGAATATAGAAGAATGTCTAGATAGCACGAAAGCGGGAAGCAGAATGAAGCCCGCTAACCTACCAGATCATGCAGTTTTTGCAGTTTTTGTAGATGGCTCCAACCCTCGGAAGTTGCTTTTCCTTCTCGTCTCGGTCACTCTGGTTGATGCATATCGCGTCCACCCAGAGCGTGCGGTCCCCGTCAGCCTTGCGGATGCGGCGTAGAGCGTCCCACAAGTTCTTTCCAATTTTTAAATTGTAGTCTTCGTTAACCTTGATGTCTTGTTTCTCACCCTCGCCGCCCCAGGCATAAGAAAGAGTCTCATATTCTGGGAGGGAGGGGTTATCGTTGAGCAGGTGGACATCAACAGTGCATGCAATCGGGGCATTTTGATCGCCCGGTTGCAGTGTCATAAGTCGTATTTCAGAAGAGTTCGGGGTGAGCTTCGTGTATTGAAATTCGGTCATCACGGGTTCGTTTGGCCGTGAAGAAGAGGGTTGTACGTCTTCGTGGGCAGGCATGACGGTAAGGAGAGTTGTGAGGCAGCAGATGGGAATAGTCGCACGTCGTGCACGGTTGTAAGAGAAAACGCAGCCTGTGTGATATTGATGATCTGTTTAACGAACCCACTCTGACCTAAATACTAGGATCGCATTCACGAGTCTTAACTCTTAGTTGGCCGTGACCGGTGTGTTTCAGACAGATCCTGAAATCCCCCTTCTGCTATCGCGGTTAGCTAAATTACCCAATTGACTAGCATGCCGCCAATTAGTCACCACACACACAACTGTTTGGGCTTGAAGGTTTTTGTAGTATGATAGGCTGGTCGGATTGTGACCAACAGATTTGGCTCTGAACCCTCAGAGTCTTGTTACATTGGGTTCCCATTTCTCTTTCAGTGGGGGCGGACCGTTGGCCTATGGTAAACAAGGCACAGCCAGCTATTTTGTTGGGCGGATCATCTGCATTGCTGATCGCGGGAATCAACAACCAAGGAGGTGAGAACGCGGCCGGGACGCCGCAGCCTTGCTAGACACTGTGAGGTCCTTGGTGCCCAACACCCTTCCTTTTCCCCACATTCACAAACATGAGCCCACCAATTCGACCGTTCAGTTATCAACGGGACGGTCGAGGTTGATGGGAGTGGTTCCGGGGGGTTGGGGGCGGAGAGGATTGTGCTGTTGCCGCGAGCGGTTGGGCCATTGGAGTGGTATCGTTGTCTGGTCTTGCTGATTTCGGCCACTTCGTCGGCTCTATTCAAAGGAACTTTGATTTCATTTGTTGTGATGTTGAGGATTTGGAACTGCGAGAACCCACTCAAGATGCTCTTGAGGCCCTCGGGGGGTGGTCCGAGTTGTCTAAGAGCAAAGGGGGTCGGCTCCATGTCGGCAGCCTGCAGGCAGGCAATTTCCTAGACGCGGAATGTCAGCAGCGGGAATCATTCAACCGACTCCAGAGGCTCCACGGCCTTGACTCCTCACTGAGTCATTCCCAGCCAAACAAACCTCTCAACGCCACATCTATCCCACAGAGGATGAGCCCCTGAACAACGATTGTGTAACCCGAGTTCAAGACATCCAAACCTAATCCCCCGCCCAAAACGCCCCCACAGACCATTGCACCAGCCCACCATGCCCCCCCAAACCCTCACCTCCCTCACCTCCCTCACCCTCATCAGCGTCCCTTACCACGTCGGTCTCCGCGCCAGCCCCATGCACCGCAGCCACGTCAGCGAAGGACCCGACTACCTCAAATCGGCCGGCCTGCTCTCCCTCCTCCTCGGTTATGGCCAACAGCACAACCTCCCGCTCCCGCTCCCAGTCCACGAATTCGAAATCCCCCCCGTCGAAGACACCTTTGAGGGCGAAATCGGACGCACCTTCGAGCTGATCCGCCGCGTGTCCCTCGCCGTGACCGCCGCGCGCGACGCTGCCTCCTTCCCTGTCGTTCTGGCTGGCAATTGTTGTATTAGTGTAGGCGTGGCGGCTGGGCTGTGCGGGTCGCGCGAGCTGTTGAGGGCAGGAGGTTGTGGGAATGGCGGGGATGATGGTGGTGGTGGGTTGGGGTGTGTGTGGTTTGACGCGCATGATGATTATAACGTGCCGGATTCGATGCTCAGTGGCTATTTTGATAGCCAGGGGATTGCTATGATGGCGGGGGAGTGTTGGAAGGGGTTGATGGCGACAGTGCCCGGGTTTCGGCCGTGGTTGTTGAGGAGGGAGGTGCATTGTGGGATGAAGGGACGTGAATGAGGTGGAGAAGGGAACCGCGTAGAGGGCTCCGGTATGGGGGTGGTTTGGGGGGATGCGGCGAGAAGGGTTGATTTTTCGGCTGGGGTACGAAAGGAGCTAGGGGAGCGGTTTACTGAAGGGGGTGATACGGCCGGTTTTGGTTCACCTTGATGTGGATGTTTTCGATGCTTCCCTGGGAAAAGGCGAACCCCTTTTGCGTGTGTGAGTAGGTTGTTTGAGGAGGGATATCACGGGCTGTATGGCGGCCATCTCAGAGCGGACCATCCCGATGGCATTCACCATCGCCTCGTTTGACCCTCTGTGCGACGGAGATGAATCGGCTCAGCGACTTGCAAAGGTTTCTATCAAGGCGGTTGAAGCGGTGTTGGACGGGTTGAGGCGCCGGGGTTTGTTTCGGTGATCTACAGGGCAGAATATGTAGGTAACATTATGTAGTTCAGTAAGTAGTTCAATTGGGATCCAACGGGAAAGACGGTCGTTTGGGTGCTATACGTTGGGTTGTCTACTCTGTAACCAGTAGTGATGAGTTGAGTCGTTAAAATAATCTGTGTGCAGATCTCACGACAAACTTGGACGACCGGCCAGGCCCGCCGGGGAAGGTCGATGAACCGCAAATCTTGGGTTACGCAGACCGATAATTTCAGGAACGAGAATCCACTCCCTTTCCTCAGTTCGGGCGCGCCAGGATGGTCAGAAATGAAGATATCATGCCTTTTTTTTGCCAATTTCTTGTGATGCCACCTCGAAAGTTTGCACGGAGATTTGGATCATCTCAAGGATGCCACCATAAAGCGAGCGTGTCACCCCCACAAGAAGCGCATTTTAGCGGCCGATCTTGGTCTTTTTTCATGGGCAAGGGCATGCATGCGTTGTCCCGAGAATGACGGAAGGCGGGTGTGTCCCCTGGATGTTGTCTTGGGTGCCCTGTAATTTTGCCCTGTCACTCTGCCTTGCGAAACTGCGTGGCCGGTGCCGTCGGACCGAGTCAACAGGGAGCGGATGCATCAAGACGCATCAGAATGCTTCCGCCAGGGGGAGGGGGGGGAAGGGCAGGCTGAATGGACCCTTGACAAAAAAACGTCGAGTGCATTTTGCTGCGTGATTTGGGCCTTGAAGGTCTCCTGGATTTCGAGGCCCCCTTTTCGGCACATTGCCGCAACTCGTGCCGAAGGGAGCCGCCAATGGTCAGGCTTTGGGGCCCA